TGAGGTCGGGTGGAGCGGGCGAGGAAGGGGTTAAGCGTGCTCCGCAGTGGGAACAGAAAGGGGGGTTGCTGCTGTAGTTGATGGACTCCAGATGTGTCTCAGATAAACTCAGGGACGAACGGGGTGTGTTTGGACTGCAACACTAGCTCATTCTGGCTTTGGGGGTTTATTGAACTAGCAAGCAAGGCCCTCACAAGAATAGTCACTACATATTTCTTCCAAATAATTTACATTTTTGAAGAAAGTGAATAGTATTATCTGTACCCTTTTTTATATGTAAATAATAGTAGCCACATTTCGGTTCTGTTTTGTTAAAAAATAGTGACAGTGACAGCAACATGTTTTTTATATTATTGTTTTAATGAGGATTCTTATAGCACATAGAGCATATACAAGACATTTGTATTTACAATGTTTATCTTTATGGAAGTGGCAATTTAAGCAGTAGCTGGATTTGATATTAACAGCGTGTTCTGCTTGAAGGCAGATGTAACATTCGTGTTAATAGTGAAAGCAGTAGAAGATCTTTTGCTATCCATTATCAATGAAAGTGCTCACATGCTGTGACACTGTACATCCAGTTGATCCTCTCATATGTGACCCATGCACTGTTTGCTAACTTGATATAGTTTCAATAGTTTTTCTTTAGAGGAACTTGAGCTTTCTCCAGACCTTCTCCTCTAACTTCCTTCTGTGTGCGTCTGCTCTGTTCCTCCCCTGCCCACTGCTGCATGTTATAGTCCTCCTACTGGATACGACTGCCTCTGCCTCAGCTCACACTGGTCCCATTCATAACTGCAACAGCTGCTGAGTGTCCATGTTATACACCCCTTAAGTCTTTTAAAAGTTACAATTCAAATATTACTGTACTTTTATAGTATATTTAAACACAGGGAGCCATTCAGGTTAAAATAATGGAAATGTACCTCCATTCGGAAAGCTGGTTCAAGTTCTGACGCCAGTAATACAGCTTTGTGGTTCCTGAGTTTTCCTTGGCACAGTAATATGCAGATCTATTGCAGATTTCAGAAACATGTAATCAACGAAGGGAATTTTACACTTAAAATAGAAGTGTGGCTTATGGTGTGCTTGCCACTAACTACTATATCCAGTTTATTCACAGTTCAAGGCATCATCGTATCCCAAAAAAATTGAAACATTTCCAGAGATAACGTTAAGAAGAAAACATAATTTGCATGATGATTCACATTTATTATATATTATTCAAGAAACTATAACCCATTACCCACCTTCGTGCAGGGACAAATTTGGACAAGCACTTTCAGATAACAAAAGGTAGATTAGATGTGCAATCAAGACAAGAACCCAGAATAAAAATAATCTTGGGAATAAGCAGTAAAAGCAGGAAATTAGAAGAAAAACAAGAGCAGTGCAGATCCTGGTTTCCTGTTTTGGGGGAAGGCCGCAGAAGTAAGTTACAGAGCCCCCATTGTGAGCGAGTGCGTTGAAGAGTATAGAGAGGTGGGGTTTGTGGGGCCTTACGCAGGGACATGTTCAGAGCTCAATCTAAAAAACCCACCTGCCCTCCCCATCCTGAACTGACCGGGGAAAGCAAGGTAGTAAAAAAATGAAAAAGGAAACTGTAAAAATAAACGAGCGAGGGCCTCTGGAGATGGCGAGCAGACAGGAAATGACACGCGCCACAAAAATGGATGACCTTTGGCAACAAACCATTGTGCCAATGAACATAGTTTGACTTACTTGGGCCAGTGGTTCTGACAATGTGGAATGCAGACCTTAGCACCTCAACTTGGGATTTTGTTCATTTTTGCATTACTAGAAAAGCATAGCCCACCGCTTAGTCCTGATTTCATTTTGTTTAAATTTGATTTAGTGATTAATTCTGGTTTAGGTCCTGTGATGGAGAGAATACTTGTAAAATGTATTTAGTTACAGATTACTGAATACCCAAATTAAAATGCATTTTGTAACTTATTGCCTTACATGGGAATACAATCAGAGTATTGTATTCTGAATACTTAGAATATTTTTACATTGAGTTGCATTATATCATAGTATAAAAACTGGAAGTATACAGTAATCACAAACATCTTTTATTTTGTTGCACTGTTTTATTTTAACCATGAATTTATGTGTAATTAAAGACAGAAACTCACCAAATTGCATGATGAAGTACTGTCATGTATTCCTTTTAATTTAGTAAACTAACTGTATTCTTAACAGTGTCGGTTGCCCTGTTAGCCTGTGCCTAGGACCATCCTTTTTTTTTTTCTCAGTCTGGGGGGCGCCAGGAGGGGGTCTTGCCCGGGGCGTCAACCATTGTAGGATCGCCACTGATTCTGATTACTACCCAATGAACAGATTCTCTGAATACAGATCCTCAAAATTCATATTCTGAATATGTATTTTTTGTATTGTATTCAGTTACTAACTATTCAGTTGCTTAACTGAATAGTTAGTTACTTAACATTGTTAAGTTCTGATCTGGTTTAGGCATTTTGCATAGTTTTAACCTGACTTACATCTGGAATAAACCTCAGACTATCATTCTTGTCCAGTACACATCAACTTATGTAAATACAATCAGTACTTCACCATCCCAAAACATGTCTGTGTATGTTTGAATGTTGCTGCAGAGTAGGTCAGTTCCATTATAACACAGTGAATACAATGTCTAGGAAGAGGAAATTCCTGATTCCAGTGCAGTGATAATGAGTGCCCTTTCCTTTTGATCCGGTTGCGTTCCCAGCTCTCTCTTTAAACAATATGAGTGTAGCTCTCCAGACTGCGTCGCTGTTCCTCTCACTCCTCCAAGTCTGAACTGCTTCAACATAACCCTGTTCTCATTGGCTTATGGGTATAAAAACAAACCTCAATACTCATCCATTTCAAGAGCTAAGTTACTATGTAATAAGTAATCTTGTGACTTATGATACAGAGGCCAAACATCACAAATCCATGTATAACATCATTTTTGGATTCGCTACTTAAACTGTTTCAGAGATGTAAACAGACGCAGGGGGGAAATGAGTGTAAGAGTAGTGAATTGATTGTTTTTTAAGGATGATCGATGAAGCCCTGATGGAGAATCTGAAGCGGCTAATGGTTGGAAATAGAGAGCTGTAGCATGTTGAAATTGGAAGGAGAATGGAAGAGATGGCATATATGAAAGGCTACAGAGGTGATTTGTTGGTTAGTTAAATCCACCTGTCACTCACACATACAGCACTGAATGTAGAACTACATTAAATTAGAAAAAAAAACAACTAAAGACAAAAACTAAAAGCACAAAGAATTGTTGTGATTGGGTTGTGAAGCTGCTGTCAGGAGAGTATTGAACCAGACCCTGCTGTTAAGAGACTGTAAAGACTGATAAACTCGGGCCAGAGGGCTATGATTGAAGGAAGAGGAGTAGAAAGAAAGCAGATCCTCACAGCAGTTCTTTGGAGCTCCCAATCACCACTTGTGACATTTCAGGTCAGAACCTTTTTCAGACATGAAGTTTCAAATGTTTCAGATTGTTTATACAGACCAAACGCTCACCTAGCCAATCAAAGTGAGACAGTGAACAGAAAGGAGAGAGATCCAAATGCATTCCCCAGATCAGTGATAATGTAGAGAGCGTATCAAAAGTAGCACCTCTGTAATATTACTCATGCACAAATTAGTTTGTGACCTCTATCCTGCCAAAACATAAACTGGAGAAAGATGACTAAATGTATTTGTGAAGATGCTGTATGAATTAAAAGTTGCTAACTTTAAATATCTTTTCTATTTTACTGTGTTTGTTTATATGTTGCTGCTGCTCAACTTTGAATTTCCTTCTGGATCAATAAAGTATCTATATCTAGTGTTGAGTTTTTCTATGCCAACATATAGTGTGTAAAAAACTCTCTCAAATAAAAATACAGTAAATAAAAACATAGCCCATACTTGATTAGCATATTTGTATATAGACCAAACCTTGTTATAGTCAGTGTAATATTGTCCACACAAGTCTTACAGCAGAGTGTTGATCATAGCGTCAGCTGCAAACAGGAGGGGCATGTAGAGGAAACAGTGGGCTGACCCTCTGCTCTTTCATCAGGACATTAATGAGTCCTGGGACACACAGAACAGAAATGGGCTCATTGTCTGTCTCCTCCCCAACAACAAAAAGAGCCATTAACACATGTATGTCTGCAGTATGTTCACACATAATACACTGGATCCTTTTTTGTTGTTGTTGTTGTTGTTACGTTTGTTTAGTTTTTTTGTTTGTTTGTTTTTTTACCTGAAAGACTTTTTACTCCTTCCACCTCGCTTACAACATTGGTTTCAACATGCAGAATGAACTTGGACAGTCAAGCAGCCTTCACTGTAGACAATTTGTTTCAGAAAAGTCAACTCAAAGCCAGATTTATGAAAATGTTGCATTATTACGGATTAATTATGCTTTATTGTTTGTTGGATTTGCTCTCAAAACTGTGGTCCAAGTCTGCTGGGAGAATCTTGAGCCAGCCAGGTCTGTAACTTTATGATCTACGTCTTCCCAAAGCAGAATACTCTTGGCGCGAACAGCTAAACCTCTGCCTGGAGCCATTTTCTAAAACCCTGCCCCAGTTTGATCAAAATAGCTCTCGATTTGGAATGGCGACAAGACAATGGTTGCGAGATGCTTGAGGTTGGACACGGTGTGAGACAGCAGAGTAGGGAGCGATGTTGACGGATTATTTTGGTGGAAAAACGAGGAACAGAAAGTCCCTTGAGGTTTGGCCTACCACAGTGGCATCCTGAGCAGCAATGAGAGAAATGTGTCCTTTAGCTGTTAGCGTTAATGCTAGTTAGCTCCTGTAAGGAAATCCTCTCTGACTGGGCCTGTCTAAAAATCCATCTCTTTTGACCTTTTCTAATCTTGTTTTTCCCACCTAGGCAATAAAACGTGGAAAGATAAAATAATGAAAAGAAAAAAGATGGGTGTCTTGCTTTGACATCGTTGTATAGGCTAAGACCTTGTCTCATTGATATTCTTTCTGCAGGGACCTCAAGCACAACCTAATCAGCACCATCATGCCGGGAGCTTTCCAAGGCCTCACCGAGCTACGGAAACTGTAAGTTGAATTACAATGCACTCAAATATGCTGTTTTTACTTTTTTATTTAAAAAGTCTGTCACATGCTTTTCTCCATGTATATGTTATTGCTTTCCCTGGAATAGTCCACAGTATGGCATTAAATATCTCCATGGAAACCAGCAGGTGGCATCACCAAATCAAGGTCAGATCTATGGATAGGCAACCACCTATGGATACACGATCCTGTAGTTTTTCCAAGCATTTTTGAGCAATAAATCACTGTAGTTGAATAAATGCAAGATAGATATGTTTAATGCTATACTGTGGACCATTCAAGGCAAAGCAATAACATCTGCATGGAGAAAAGCACAGTGGTCCCACCTTACAGTTGTGTAACTTTTGCAACTTTTAAGATTTAAATTCTTCATTAAGAAGAAGAAAAAAGATTATGCAACTTTGTAATGAGTCTTCTCTATGACAGAAACATAATCACAGATGTATGCACAATTACAGTACATACAAACTCTAAATTGACAAATATATTTTATATAATTTTGCAACAATTAAAGTATGACATGTTTTTTCTCAGTTAATATATCACCCAGAATATACTGTACACTGAAAAACAACTCCCTTCTATGATATATGCAGTATTGATTGTTTGTGTTTTTTGATTTGAGTTGTACCACTTTTGCTTAACATTCGTGGCTTTCCATCCAGTTTTGTATAAACCCCAAAGGCGTTCTGTAGCATCACTGTAGTTTACATACTTTTTACTCATGCATTGCCAATCATTGTTTTATGGTTTTTCCTTCACTATGGTCCTCACGCCTCCCCCCACCTCCCCCTCTTGTGTTTTCCCTGTGTGCTCTGTGGCTTGTCCAAACAAACAGGGGTAGATAAACACATGCGCTGGACGGTTCTCTGCTGGGTAGTGTCAGGGTGCAACAGAGCAGATCCTTCTAATACATCATACTCAGCACTAGAGGCCCTGCTTTTACCCCATTTTCTGATAAACTTTTACTGGCGTCCCACCGAGATGAGATAAGGCAAAGTGGCAGGGACTGTGAATACTCAAACACTTCTGGCATACCCCAAGGCAATCGTGCAAAGATGTTAGTATTTAATTTATTTGGTAAGAATGTGCTGGCAAATTATCCATGTCCGCTTTGTTAGGGATTGTGGTGATACTGATAAAATAACATGTAAAAAGATATCACAATACATGACTTGGCATGAAAATAACTAACCATTCTCTTTGTCTTGGCGTCTTTTAGGGACCTATCTAACAATCGCATTGGCTGCCTGACTGCAGACATGTTCCAGGGACTGACCAATCTTACTAAACTGTAAGAAATACCTCATTAATCATGTAAATCAATTGTAAGATTGCTGTTTCCAGAGTAATATTAAAACTCTAATGGTTTTTATGATAGAAACCTCTCTGGCAACATCATATCTACAGTGGATCCAGGAGTGTTTCATGAGCTGCCTTCCCTTAAGCAAGTGTGAGTAGATAGGAGTTTAATTTAAAGTGGGGTAAAATGGATGACTTTTATTGCTGTTTATATATTAATTCATCCCACCAGAAACTTCAACTCTAACTACCTGGTTTGTGACTGTGGGCTACGCTGGGTCCCTGGCTACTTTCGCACCAGTTCGGCCCGACTCGGTGATGAGACCCTGTGTGCCTTTCCCACTGCCCACAGAGGAAAGCCCCTGAAAGGACTCAGAGAGAGCCAACTGACCTGTGGTGAGAATAACACCCACTGCCCTGTACTTAAATGCCTGCTGAGCCATGTAGCATTTTTTCAACAATAAAAACATTGAAAATATGAAAATATTTTGAAGTAGCAGGCCCTAACAGTTCTGTCAATGGACCTCTTTTAGATCAACACAACAAGAATAAATACCCTAAAAACCTCTGTCAATGAAAAGGTTTGATCCAGATGGTGATGATGGCCACATTAAAATAGCTTTTTCCTACCTGTATTGGGAAATAAGTGGAAACCCTCAGAGAGGAAAACCTCTGTCCAAGAGACAGCCAACTGATCTGTGGTGAGAATATCACTGAAAAAATTTGGCCCAGACAGATCACAATGATATGCTCTTTCCTATTTCTACTGGGAACTTTACAAGATAGAACGCACTCACATGCACTCATAAATAAGTGGTGGGTAAAGTGTCTTGTGTAAGGATACAACAGTAGTATGTGATAGTGGAAGCAAGGGACAAAAATCCATCCTGCATGTCATGTGAACCCTTGAAAATTCCATATTGACATTTATAGTTTGCTCATGATAGAACAACGTTTTACATAGCAGTTATTATTAGATGAGTAAAAGAAAAAGTACAGTTAATATAATTATTATATATTATATATTTATTATTGATAAAACAATAATTACCTCCGCCAAGCAGGTTATGTTTTTGCCGGCGTTTGTCTGTTTGTTTGTTTGTTTGTCTGTTAGCAACATAACTCAAAAAGTTATGGACCGATTTTGATGAAATTTTCAGGATTTGTTGGAAATGTGAAAAGGATGATTTCATTTTGGGGGTGATCGGGAAGAAATCCTGGATTCTGGATCACTTTGAAATTTTAGTTAACATTGTGGTAAATGGGGCCAAAAATTTTGTTTCTCAATATCTCGGTGAATTATTGACCAAACCCCATGAAATCTGACTCAGGGAAGGACAATGGGATCCTCTTTCATATTCCAAAGGCTGATCCGGATCTGATCCAGAAGACTGATTTTATCACAATTTATATAAAAAATGGGGGTAGTCCTTGGCGGAGGTCTGCGCTCTCTGAGTGCTTTTCTAGTTATGCATTATCACACTTTTGGTACTAGTATTACCCATTTGCTACCACTTTTAATAGATGAAACAGATCAAAACTCTTTATCCTTTTCCTCAGCTCAATCACAATGTGTTCAATTCTTTTGTTCAGATGGTCCTCTGGAGCTGCACACCCATTATCTGCTCCCATCCCAGCGTCAGGTGGTGTTCAAAGGGGACCGCTTGCCCTTTCATTGCACTGCTGCTCTGGTGGATAAAATCACCTCTTTGTATTGGCTGCATAACGGTAGGATTGTGACCTCTGACCCTGACATGGGTATCCAACTAGAGAACAGCGTTGTACATGATTGCACCTTTATCACAAGGTACACAACTATTTATATTATGTGTATGAAATCTGCCATTTTATTTATTCCTAACCTTCTCACCTTGTTTTTATATAGTGAACTCCTTCTATACGATGTTCATGTGGAAGCCAGTGGAGAATGGGAGTGTGTGGTGGTCACTGGGCGAGGCAATGTGTCCCGTAGTGTAGAAATAGTGGTGTTAGAGAACAGTGCCTCCTTCTGCCCAGAGGAAAAAGTTATAAACAACAGAGGAGAGTTCAGGTGAATTTGCCAACTTTTTCATGTGCAATTATAACACAGAGACTTACATTTATTAACCATATAGAGGGTTGCTTGCAGATGGCCTAGGACTCTTGCTGGCATCACATCTCATCAGTACTGTCTGCAGCTGCGTTACCCATCGCTGTCAGTAGAGGGAGGTATGGAACAGAAGAAAGCCTCTCGTTACTGTGACCGCACTGGGAGGTGGCAGGAAGGCAACTATACCAACTGCCACTACACCAATGGAATCACCCGCGTCCTCCACACGTTTATCTTGGTCAGTAAAAATTAGTATTGCTATATCAATTATTGTATTCAGTTTCATTATTTGTAATACATTTTCTTGCAGAGGCCAATAAATGCATCAAACGCTGTGACCATGGCTCATCAGATCCGCACATACACCCTAGAGGCGGCTGGTTTCACTGACTCTGTGGATGTCTTATATGTTGCTCAATTGATGGATAAGTTTATGGAGTACATTGTTCAATTGCGAGAGGTTAGTTTTCATTCACCAACCCTTAGTTTGGAAATGTATATGTATGTGTATGTGGTAACATTTTTGGTCTATATTGTTTGTCTCTCAGTTATCAGAGCTATTAGTGGAGATGGGCAGTAACTTGATGCAGGTGGATGACCAGATTCTTGCTTTGGCTCAGAAAGAGAAACGGGCTTGTAGCTCTATTGTCTACTCTTTGGAGACCCTTGCCTGGCCACAACTGCACAGTCATGCTCAAGATTTTTCTATGGTAAGATTTATATAAATGGTGTTACAAGACAGAATTTCCATAAGCTGAGATGCAAGATTTTGTCTAAGAATCAGACAAGAGTTTTTTTTTAACATAATTTATTATATATTAATCATATGGTTTAGTTTACCTTGTGTTTCTGCTGTCATTGTAGAACTGCTTTTTACAACTATGTCTTCTCATTAGATAGGTAATTGACCATTTAACCCTTTCTTGTCTGTGACAAATGTAAATGCATCAGGCAAAAAAAAATAATCTTACAAGATAATTTGCCATCTTGTGGCAATTTTATCTTATATATCTGAGGTCTTGTGGCACAAGATCTTGTCCTAGCCCTAATAAACAATATATTTTTTTAAAGTAAGGCAAAAAATAAACATTTGTTTTTGTGTCAAAGGGGTCAAGAAACATAGTGATGAAGGCTCACTTGATTCGTCCAGCCCATTTCACCGGCATCACTTGTATTGTGTATCAGCGGCGTGACGTTTTGGTGGGAAGTCTGGGAGTGGAAACAACAGAAAGCTCCCAGGAAAACCAGCTGCGTTTCAGATGCATAACTGGAGCTCATAACACATCTTTGAACAATTTTCCACTAAAGGTAATGTTTAACAACAAATGTTATTCACTAATGTATTTAACTTTATAATGTATGTATGTATGTATGTATTATTATTATTATATTGCTGTATTGTATTATTGTATTATTGTATTCATGTATTACTGCATTGAAGTATTTTAGATTTATGTCATGTTCTATGTTTTACTTAGAATTCCATGGCACTGGCCTCAGTAACTATCCCACCAACTCTCTTTCCTCCTGACGCACCGGAAGACTGTAAACTTCAGTTCATAGCATTCAGAACTGGCAGCTTTTTCCCTGTTACTGGGAACTCGAGCAATCCTGGGGAACATACACGCAGACGCATTGTCAACACTCCTGTCATTTTTGTTGGGCTTGGTGAGTTATTTTTAGTATTCTGGTGTTTGAAAGGTCAGCAGATATTGTCCTAACCACTGACACTGTCAACAGAAAGCAAAAATAGGTGAAATATGACCACACTGACAGCATTATTTGTTTCTATCACAGATGGCTGCCAAATGTGGAACCATTCGGAAGCGATCAGAGTGTCACTGCGCCACTTGTCCCCTGGTGCAGACGCACTTCCGGCCCACTGGAGCTGGAGGGCGCAAGAGAGGCAGGGCAGCTGGAGCCAGGAGGGTTGCCAATTGGTCCAAACTGACAGCAGCACTACAACAATGCGATGCTCACTACTCAGTAATTATGCAGTGTTGCAGGTAAACTTCCCAAGTAATTAGACAGCATTTAATACTTCATGAGCAGTTAATAAGGCTATTTATCTTAGAAAAAATAAATATTTGATCACAATGGAACATGTTTAATAACAAAAACTATGTATTTTAACTGAACATTATTGCTTTGTGCTTATGCAAAAATGTTCAATTTGTTTCCCAGGAAGTGCCTGACTTCCCCAATTCAGGCCCTATCTCTGTGACAGCACTTCACCCGGTGGTCTATGCTTGTACAGCAGTTCTCCTCTTGTGCCTTTTTACAATTATTATCACACACATACTTCATCACAGGTAGGTGATGCCAGTAAAAGCATGTACATTTATTTGATGTAGGTTATTTAATGTATTTTTCATGTTTGTCTTTGTCTATATAGTTCTATCCACATATCAAGAAAAAGCTGGCATACATTATTAAATACATGCTTCCACATTGCTATGACCACAGCAATCTATGCAGGGGGCATTGGCTTGACAAGCTACCCAGTGGTTTGTCAAGCTGTAAGTATTGAAGTTATACAGTTATTTTAGTATCCCACTGCAGCAGGCTTATGCCTTATCTCTTACTGTGCTCTGACAGGTTGGCATTGCATTACATTACTCATCACTGTCGACGCTGCTGTGGATTGGAGTCAGTGCTCGGGTCATTTACAAAGAAACTCTGTGGAGACTGCCTCGACACCACGATGGAGAAGCTACTGCTCCTCCCACTCAACGCCCAATGCTCAGGTAAATGCATTTCACCTTTGACTACTTCCTGGACAATGAGGCTTTTGTTTTGTGTACATATCCTTGAGCTAATTGCCACCCATACTACACATTACATTACTTTTCAATGCAACAACCAAGGTTAGTAAAAAGCTTGGCATCACAATGGCAAAGCTTTAAGAAGCTTCCAAGAATGGACTGAATAGTTGAATCAGAAAGGGCTTTCATATATGTCAGGAGCAGCTGAGGGGGTGTAATGTCTTCAGATCTTCGCCTGCATTTCTTCTCTTTTTGTACAACCAGCAGCTGGCTCTATGGGGTCAGGCCATATTAGGTCACTTCCAACTATTCAGTGGCAAACTCCTGGGCCACAAGAATGTGATACAGGTCATAATGATAACAGCAAAGCAAAGAATTTACATCTGTTTGTCCTACACTGCATATTCCAGAAACTATTAGTTTGATAAAAAAAAAAAGAAGCTTTTTTTCTGTCTCTCCAGGTTTTATTTAATTGCTGGTGGAGTTCCTCTCATTATTTGTGGAATCACTGCAGCTGTCAATGTGAACAACTACGGTGATAATAGCCCTTAGTGAGTACTGCCCTTGATATACTTGGGTCATGACTTGGTGTTTGGTTTGTGCTGAAATTACATTTTTATGATACTGAACACACAGAGATGTCCTTGTTCCACATTGACCCTTCTGACTTCTGTTCTGGGTTTTGCAGCTGCTGGCTGGTGTGGCGCCCCAGCCTGGGTTCCTTCTTTGTCCCTGCAACCCTTGTGGTCTTTGTGACCTGGATCTACTTCCTGTGTACAGTGTTTCGCCTGAGGCGACGTGTGACCAAAGAATGCACAGGAACCACCCTGTCCTCCCCAGTGACTGAGAGCCAGCCTGCTTTAGCGGGAAGTACCAGCCTCCTCTCCACAGACTCAGCAGTTGGCCCCGTAGCTCCTGCTTTAGAGGATCAGTACTCTCTGAAGACACAGTTCACTGTGCTGGTGGCCACCCACTTCCTGTTTGTGCTTCTGTGGAGCTGTGGGGCCATGGCGGTGTGGTTGACTGGGAACACTGGTCTGTTGTTCAGCTGTTTCTATGGCGTCGCTGCCACGGTTCTAGGAGTTATGCTTATGGTTCACCACTGCTTTCGTCGTCAGGATGTCCAGGCTTCATGGCATGCCTGCTGTCCTGGTTATCAGCGCCCCCACCCCTCCTCTACATACACACACACCTGCACTACAGGGAGTGGAGTGCACACCTCAGACCAGGGATCGCAACTTTTTATTAACTGCCACCCACCTGTTGATCTTCACAACTCCTCCTCAGCACGGTCCTCCTCCACGCCCAGTGGGATCAGCAGTGTGGGCCCTGGTCCTTGTAAACTCACCAATCTCCTGCAGGTAATACAGGACACTTCAAACAATACCACACGCCCAGTAGGAAATGTTAGCACAAGTACTGACAACATGAGCAAACCAGCAAATAACATCACCCCATCTATTACCTCTGCCCCTGTGCACCCACAGAGGAAAAGGATCACCAGCAGAACCAAGCAGGCAAACAGCCAGTATCACCACCGTGGCGAGGGCAGGGGACACTATCGCCACAAAGCTCTTAGGACTGCTGCTACAGGGGGCAGCCTGGGGGCATTAGGGCCCACAGGGTTGGACCATCTAAATTCTTCACATGTAGTCCATAAACAGGCCACTAGTGAAAATGGCAGTGTCCACCATAGTCTGACAGAGAGCCACGGCTGCCCCCTGACTAATGGGAAGCGCCATGACTCTGTGCCGACAAGCTTCTCAGAGGGAAGTGATGGGGGCAGCAGCGGGAGCCGAAAACCATTTCCACTGCTCCCCTCCGCAGCCAGCAGAGCCACACACAGCAACCAGAGACGCTGTGCGAGCAGAGACAATGTCAAACTGGCAGCTGCAGCTGAGAGGGATGCTAAACGCTGCTCATACCCTTTAAACTGTATCACCACCACAGTGCCTGAGGCTGCCACTGCAAATGGCACTCTGAAAAACTCTGTGCTGGACCTGGAGCAAGACATGAGTGGCACAGAGCACTCTCACAGCTCCTCAGGAATGAAAAGTGGTTTATGGAAAAGTGAAACTACAGTGTAACATACATCTGTCTGATCTATGCAAGTGACTAGGGTTTCATATGATTGGACTAGTGTGAATTAGTGAAGTAGTGTGAATTAAATAATTAATTTATGATATAGAAAAATACAAACAAATTGAACCATAAACTGGTACTTTACATATGTGTAAACTTGTAATGAAAAAGGAGATGTTTATTATTGTAAATAAAACTCATGTATTTGTTTTTTTTATTATTATTATTATTATTAAAGAATGGTGTAATTTTTAAATCAACATTTGATGTTGATAATGAAGCTTTAATGTTTTGATTGTATAATGTTTGTCAAAACATGGAATGGAGCAGCAGGCCATTTCAAAAATCCAGCTACATTTACTCTGTGGACAATCTCATGTTTATGCACTTCCTTGTGTCTATGTGTGTGTGTTTTGTTTACTACTGTGCGTATGTGTATTGGCACATACTGTAGTGCCAAGCGGATTCATGTCTGTATGCAAAGAGTGCACACGCTGTATGAAGATATCTTCCTGTATGTATCACTGCAAGCTCCCCCCAAACATGATAAAATGAGAAAGACAGCAAACATTTCCAAAAGGCTCATAGTTCTTTAATATAATAGGCAAAGGGGAAACTCAATGGATTCTATCTGGACAACTGAGGGATTTTACACATTAATATTAATATAATAATTACAGTAAAGTAGATACATGAGAGTCAATGGAACACAGTGTGTATTAATTAAAATGCATTTGCACAGTGAAACATAGATAGAAATATAAATGTATATATACATAGGACTAATATTTCAGACAATATCTGATCCTTCATTCTTCAACAAGAGCTCTTACTGAATAAACAAAGATTAGTAGGTCTTACCGATACAATATTCACTGTAGTAATTTTTCTGCTATTGTAGGATTTGACCTATGGGTGTTCCGTGTTGGAGACTATGCCAGTTTGTGCTGCCCTGGGTAACGGTTTGGAAAGTCCCACCCTCGTGCCTAAATATCCAACCAGAGACGCCCCCTAGCCCGCACATGGCCCAATTAGGTCCAAGGATGTAGAGTATGGGAGGAAACTTTCAAACATCAGGGAAGTCCGCAGTGAAACTACACGGAGGAAAACAACTCAGCAGCGTCCATGAAAGCCTTTTAAAGGAATTAGTCCGCACAGTGTCGTCATTGTGCCGCTGTAGTTAATAGTAATAACTTAGTAAAGTATTATAACTTCTCAGTTGGTGTTTAGTAGAGCATTACTAGGCGGAGGTAACAGCGTTACGACACCGACCTGCGCTTCCTGAAACAAGGTAATCTGAGAACGGGAAGGGAAAAGTTTCTCAGCGTGTCAAGAGGACAATATTACCACCGAATTAAAATTTAACTTTGATTAACTTTGTAGGCAGACTTTGAGGATGTCGCTGGTTGATCAGAGTCAGCAGTGGTTCCCCACCAGTGTGCGCGTAACGGTGCACCAAGGTAAAGATCTGCGCGCAAAGGGGAAAAATGGCACAAACGACGCCTACGCCATTATTCAAGTCGCAAAAGACAAGTTTTCTACTACAGTGGCAGAGAAAAGTGTGTCTCCAGTGTGGAAAGAAGAGGCGACGTTTGACTTGCCATTATTCCACCCGGGAAACGCTGAACGCTGCACACTGTACATCATTGTGATGCATCGGGCCCAAGTGGGGCTAGACAAGTTCTTGGGACAAGCTGTGATCAATTTACTGGAGCTGCATGACAACAAGGCCCGCAAAAGGACAGAGTAAGTATTCTCAGCGTGGCTGTTTTCTCCCAACACAATAGCCTTATTCTAGAATTGAACAAGTGACTATGCAGTCAAAGGCCACCGAGGTAAAACCCAGTTACCCAAAAGTTATTCAAGTTAATCTCACTACATTAATAGTTTATGTCGCAAGGTAGAAAATCTACCACTGAAGAACTGTTTATTATAGTAGTGCACTACAGTTTATTGGCTAAATTCTGCAACAGAAACCCATAATCCCATAATGATATAAAACTACCTATTTTTATGATGGCTGAGAACTCTTCTTATAACCTTAAGATATTGGCATCTTTTTTTCTTACATGTAAACATGACACACTAGCATATACACAGATATTATTGCAGTTCATCTCTGTATGGCAATATTTAGTTTCAAACCCACTTTGATTCACGAGTCACCAGGAATTATAGACATACCAAGTAGCCGAGTACAATAGACCTGCTCACACCCAAACAATTGAATCTTTGAATCTGAAAATGGTCTGACGTATTGGCCGGGTGTAACACCGGTGCAACCAGAACCAAAACAAAACATTCAATAGCATGCACATACACCCTGTTACAAAACAGATTAACTAAAATAATAAAGCCTTAAAACAGAGTAAAGACTAAAGACATAGCCATTATAGTCATTAGCATAGGGCAGCCATTTTCCACTACAAACACGTCGTGTATGACCTCATTCACTTTGCCATATCTCAAGTGTTATCTTCTGTTTGCTTTGTGATTTTTTATTATCATCAGGCAAAGGGCACTTCTAAGGCAGGCAGCTCTCCTTCATTTCTTCTCTCTCTGCTCTCCTCTGTATCCCTCATTGTACAAGCAGGTATCAGATGTTGCTGGTGCGGCCAAGGAGTGTGTTGGATTGGGTTACTATTGAGTTTCCCAGCAATGCTTTTTGAGGGCGTGACATTGAGGACTTTGTTTTTCTAATGAAAGGGGGCTGTGCTGTCATGGTTTGGGATACAATAATGTTGGTCATATTTATATGGCACACAGCATAATCCAGCACAATTTTCCCAATGGACCAGCTCACAACAATGAAGTGTGAATGTATGTGGCAATATGAGATTATGAGAAATATGTAGGCGTATAAATTCCTTCTGTAATACAATTTTAAAGTATACAGAACTGCACAGTTTTTCACTCTTACAGTTGGCAGTGCTTATTGGCTCATTTATATAATATCAGTGTAGCCTAGGAAATGGAGGACACTCTCAAAAACGAGGTGATTCATCACAGGGGGCTTATTGTCTTAATAAATACATTTGAAATACTCAGGTTTCAGCCTCTATTCTAAGGGGTTGGGTGCACAGTGGGGAAAAAAGCAATCATCCATAGCCCCTAGTTAGTAATGACAGGTCTGATCACCATATATTTACCACACTATCAGTGATTTTGTTATTTTTGTACATTGAGCATTGTAAGGCAAATGTATAATTTACTATTTCTCTATCTGGATATGCACACTGCCCCACTGTTGCTCTATGGACAAGGTTGCCCAGATCTTGTTAATAATTAAAAAGAGAAGTGAACTCAAAACGAGAGGTAGGAACTTGTCAAACTGGATGAGTAAGAGAACAATTATAACAACTTAATTGTGAGTCTATTACATCATTTTTACTCAGTAGTGCACTTGAGAGTATCTTCTTTTGCAGCCTGAGCTGATTAACATGCTTAGCTGTTTAGTTGTGCAGCAAAGCAATGCTATAAGAGTGTCATATTTGTTTAGTAAAATGTAGTTGAGCCCAAAAAGTGAAAGGCCATAGTTTTCCCTCTATGACAACAACATTTGTGTTTAACACTTTAATAGCTGGGCGTTTCTTCACCATCAGCGTGTTTTCACTAATTAATTATGTCTGAGTTTATATTTAGAATAGGCCTCCAGAAAACACTCCCTACTCAGAAGTGTTGATTCTGTAACAGAGTGGACATGAGGCGGGCCCTTAACAAAGCAATCATTGTCCCGTGTTGGTGTGAACTTAGAACACACTGTACACAGAAGTGACACCCACTAATGTGCCCACATGTTTTGGCTTTCAGATATTCTGCGTATTAATAATGTGTTTTAACTATTTAACTCATGTTCACCTGCTTTCAAATGCCAAGGCCATAGCACTTGGTGGCATAAAATGCATTTTAGTCTAAAACTTCTCATGGATTTAGTTTTGTTTGGCTTTAGCCATGAACTTGTGCACAAAAAATATTCATGTGTTTAAATATGTCTATTGTAGGCCCATGAATATGTTTTTATTTAGGGTCACGTCACGATTCTTTCTATGAATAATATGGGTGAAACCAAGGTCCAGTATATATTTTAAAAGTTAATACAGTCTTACAAACAAGACTGCAAAGAATTTACCAAGAAATGTACAATTTTACTTGCAAAGTGTGTTAACAAATTACAAAATAAATTTGGTGAGAATGTTTTTATTCTTGAAATTTTAAAAGTATTCTGTTGCCCTGTTAGATAGAGAGAAATGTTTTCCAACCTCAATAAAAACTAAAAAAAAAACTAAACTAAACTATTTTTGTGAAATAAATAAATTAATAATTTGACTGAAATTGTACTAGATTAGGTTAGTTTATTTGCCGTTTGTAGTTAATAACCACATTGGAAGAAAACGTGCAAAAAGCTCAAAGTGTACCATGAGACAAAAAAAAATAAAAAAATAGTAACCTGAAACAAACAATAGACAATCATACTGACATTGTGAAATAAACAACCTTCAAAGTAGCCAAAATATTAAGGTGCTACATCAAAGTGCATTGTTCAAGCTTATAACATCTTATGGGAAGAAGCTGTTCCCGCTACTATACATTATACATACAATATCAAGGTCATCCTAATTACTGGTATATGTATTTATTTTGCCATCAACACTTTTTGTCACTCTTCCATCATCAAAAGCATCTGATTTATTCTGTCTGTTATCTACAGTTGGTTCAAACTGGTAGACAAAACCGGTAAGGAGGACAAAGCCCGAGGGGAGGTGCTGCTGGACATCCAGTTCATGAGAAACAACTTGTCAGCCAGCATGATGGACCTCTCCATGCAAGACAAGCCTCGGTCACGCATCTCTAAAATCAAAGATAAAGTGCGAGGGAAGAAAAAAGACAGCTTCTCAGATTCATCGTCTGCCATTGTGCCCTCTGTCAGTCAGGTCCTCACTGATAGTGAGGGTGAAGGTGATTCTGTGTCACTCAGCCAATCTCCAGGAGTGAAAAAGAAATCTAAACTCAAAACTTTATTCACTCCTAAATCAAACCTGCAGCGTAATGTGTCTCAGTCTATGACAACTCTGGGAACACTGCCGGAGAAAAACTCATCCCTTAGTAGCAGCCGGTCCTCTGGGCTCAATATTGATTCTCCCGATGGTAAGTTAAAGTTTAACAGTTTAAAGAAAACTATTCATGCCTAAGAAATGTGTCGCTTTCAAAGTGTCTTTTAAAGAGCACCATATAACTTCTGGTGTGGGGTCGCTACCTGATTGTTATTGCTTTGTCTAGAATGTTCCATAGTATAGCATTATCCATCTTGCACTTATAACTGGTATTTTCATTGTTCAAATGGACCTGACCTATAACTTGACCTGGGGTATTACATGCTTGTCTCCATGGAGATAACTAAGTTTTAATGTCATGCTGTGAAACATTCATGGCAAAGCAAAAACAAAAAAAACACTAGAAAGTTCATAGTGCACCTTTAATGAACTAAATTAAATTAGGTAGTAATTGTAACCTCAATTTGAAACAAATTAATTCATTTGAATTAGTTTTATATTTTAGTTCTACTAAACTATAAATTGAATTGCAAAGCTCTGCCTCTTGGTAAGTGACACCTGTCCCACAGCCTGAGAACCAGACTTAACAATGAAACCTGCTTTGTTTACCATGAAAACACTGACTTGACACTTCTACCTTTTCATAGTTAAGAAGAAATTCAAATTCCTGGGCCACAAGAGAACCGGCAGCTCCGACAGCAGGGTTTCCCAAGGGCCTTTCTCATTACTGAGCCGCTCCAAAAAAGATGATTCAAATAACCTATGCATCAATGGCAGCCATGTTTATGCAGAAGAGCCTGAGGCAAAGTCTGGCTCTACTATGAGCCTCAACAGCTCAGGACATGGGTCTGTGGAAGATATCCGAAAACAACCCTTTGATGTTCCAGTAGATGTCCCTGTAGATGTCCCAGCATTTAGTATTACTGTACCAGCACCTCCAAGCAGCCAGTCCACAGAAAGAGCCCTACTAGAGCAACAACGCCATCAAGAGGACCAGAGAAGAATAGCAGAGGCCAAGAAGCAGGAGGAGGAAGAGAGGAGGAGAGCAGATTCTTTAAGACTGCAGCAAGAAGAAGAAAGACGCTACCAGGAGGAACAAGAGAGACAGAGACAACTGTTAGAAGAGGAAACCAGAATAAGGAAACTTAGAGAGGAAGAGGAGATGAGGAAGAGGCAGGAGGAAGAGAGGAGGAGGCAGGCGGAAGAGAGGAGGAGGCAGGAGGAAGAGAGGACGCTGGAGGAAGAGAGGAGAAGAAAGGAAGCGGCAGCGGATGAGGAGCAGAGGCAGGAGCAGCTGAAAGCAGAGGAGCAGAAGAAACAGGAGGAGGCGTCCATGAGTGAGCGGCTGACCTCTCTGTTTGGGATGATCCGTAAGAAAGAGGAAAAGAAGGAGGAGGTGGCCCCAGAGATCAAAGAGGACAAAGAGGAGCTGCCCACAACCATCATGAAGAGTCACACTATAAGCCAAGACCCACCATTTCCACAGCAGTTCACCAACCCCTTTGAGGAGATCTCCCTCAGCTCTGGTCCACCACAGAACACTAACGAAAACCCCACTGAGTTCAAACCAAGCAGCAGCGCTCCCACTGCCTCAGCCATGGCCTTCCTCAACCGCACCACGGCCAAAGTCAAACCCAGGTAGGTCCAAACAGAATAAATTATTACTTGAACAAATATAACATATCTGTGAAAGTATTGCGAACACACTCACAAACACACTACAAAATACATACTAGTAATACATAATACATACATTTTATAATGATAAACTAGGCATAATTTAAGTGTAAATTAGACATAGTAACAATATAGGTCTAATTTCTACATCTCTCTTTATTTGGTCTAAAACAACTTCTAAAACTTGTATTATTTTACAATTGCATGCAAAACAAATTCTCTTGTTTTTCTTTTCTTTTTGAATTTGATAGCCTACTGTCAGTTCATTTACTATTATTTTGGTCTATAATGTTACATTGTTTGATTTATTTATTTATTTGATTGGGACAGACCACGTTAAACATGATACAACATGAATGTAAACACTCTGGATTATAGTCATAGACTAATTTCCATCTGCTGTCCCAAGGGTTGTATTTTTCTTGTCGACCATATAATCTGTGTATGATGTCAAATTTGGAAATTCCCTGTATTACATGAATCATGGATGTCTTGAATTACCAAAATTGCGCATCCCTGCCGGTGGCTGATTGGCCTGCTGGACCAGTTTGGTGCTTATGCAAAGTTGATGTGGGGCGTGTCTCTGTTGGGACAATGTTGTAGAGCAGGTTGAGGGCTGAACTTACACATACGGAAGGACATCAGCTCAGTATTAGTTCAGTGCCGCAGGTGTTTGGTTTTCTTTTTTGAGTTGGTTGTTGAAATGTTTGGATCCTAAATGGTAAGAAGCTTTCATGTTAGAGTTCGCATTAGTATTTGTTTGTTATATAGGTAGTCTCTTAGAATGTTGTCTAGACAGTTGTTGTTTCTTAGCATTATGTAATGTGCCATTAGCTGCGTAGCTCATGGCTAAGTGCAGAGTTGTGCCTTTGTTCTGCTGGAGGCGTTTACTTTTAGTCATAGCTTTTATTATTCAGGTTTCATACAGTATCATAGCCTGCAGTTTTGATTGTCCCTGCAATTATGGTGATGGGTTGCACAGTATATAATTGGTCACACTGACGTGTAGGCCTTTGTTTTCACCTTGGCAGATTGGCTGAATCTGATCCCACTGAATATCAAACCTCCAGTTCACAGCCTCCCTCCCCAACCACCCCTGAGTCTCCCTCTACTAGTGTTGTCCCCTCAGAAACTTCTGCTAGTTTTCAAGATCTACACTTCTCTCTTGCTCCTCAAAGCAAGGACTTAAGTGATTCATCTGGTGGCAGCAGTGAAGACCTCTTCTCACCAGTGGAGGATTCAGAAAACATGGCGGATAAGAAGAGGAGAGCCCCTGTGCCGCCATCTTACCCAGCCAACGGCACTCAGAGTGGAGGCAGAGAGATTCTTAACCCAGCCTATGTGGAACCAGACACACAACAGCAAATCCCAAGGATGTCTTTACCACTTCCTGATTATGAGACACTCTTTCCTCAAAAGAGGCATGGCGTACAGGGGCAGACTCGATGGGATCACATTGTTGCTGAAGTCAATCAAAAGCATAGAGACAGTCACATTGAGTTCACAGGCACAGAGATGAGTGTAGACGGCCCGGAAGAGCATCAAGAAAAACCTCAAAGAAGCTCAACTCCTGTGCAGCAATATCGAGCACACACTCCAGAACCAAAACCAGTGTCTTCTAAAGGTTTTGCGGCTCCCGATCCCCCCAAACAAGTGGCACCCCCTCAGTATAAGACGCCAACTGAAACTAGCCAGAAATCAAACCAGAACTCTAGTCAGAATCGATCATCTATTTTGGGCCCTGATTCAACGCAACAGCAGATTCCCACTGAAATGCAAATGCAAATTCCCACAAATGCAGACTCTGAATCATCTCGGAAAGTGTTGCACCCATCCTTGAATGTACAGGCACCCAAACCAAAAAGTCGAATGGAAACCAATAGGTCACCACAAGGAAGCCTCAGAATTACTCAAACAACTGATAATAAAGAAGCACCCACAGCCAAACCCAGACAAAAACCTAGCAGAGAATCCATGTTGATTACACAGAGCAATACTGAACCTGATATTAAAGAAATAAAGGCTACTGAAACTGAATTCGACCCTTTCCCGAACAACCTTCTCTCTCAAGACCCATGGGGACAGACGCAAGAATTTCACAATGTAGATCTTTTTACTGACAAGGAGAAACCAGAAGAACAAGGAATGACGCCGGATGATCTTGATAACTTTTTTAGTTCAAATATAACAAGCGATCCTTTCATCGTTTCAAAAAGAAATGGCTCTCAACCTAAAGAGGACAAAAGTAACACACCACAACGTCAAAGTGAGCCTAAAAGTTTTTATGACAGAGAAGACCCATTTGCACCTGATGCATTTACTTCTACAGTCTCTTCTGAGCCCCTCCCTGTAGTCTGGGAGGAACCAGCGGCTGGAGGTTTGGCGGGAAGCAAGAGTCCAATACGTGCATGGGTGTCACCTTCTGAGGTTCAGCCGGTCAGTGTGCAGACAAACAGTGGAGGTGGGCTAGCTTTGTCCCAACGCAGGTGAGAGCATTTGCAAAGCTAACATTATTTTTTAGCTGGCAAATGAGGTGTTGGGGTTGTTTGGGCTTTTGTGGCAGATTTCCTGGTGGTTGAGATTCTGTTTTAGAGAGAACACCAAATCAAAAACATCAAAAGCTGAAACCATTTTACCTTCTCTCACTTGTTAAAACGGTTATGGAACTGACCTACTTCAAATTTTGGCTTTTGTGCATGCACCCTGCTTTATGTGGTTTTCAAGGACGGTATCATTAGATTTATTTTTTTTTATTATTTTTCTACAGACCACATCCTGTCAAACCCCTGAACCCTGCTGATAGCCATCAACCATCAAGCACGCCTGCTTTTAAAGAGATCAAAGTTCAGGATGGCGCACCTACTAAGTACAAGGTAACATGAAAACATTTGGACTATTTTTTTACACTTCACTAATAGTGATATGTTTTTATACAGTATAAAGTGTGGCTTCATAAATTAAGAAGACATATTTTCAGTGGGGAATTAGCCTCTGTGACCATTTTTTATCATGATTTTTAGCATTTAGCAAGATTTGTGCATTCATCAGAGCCAGGTTGAAAGAAAGTGATAAGCATAATGTATCAATGTTTAATAAGGCTTGTTATTAAATGTAGTACTGGACCAGTTACATAAATGTAGTGATTACTCTATTGACTTTCTGAGTATTGAATGGAAACAAATCCTACTCTTTAAGAGAATGTGTCATTCTTCCATTTCTTTGTATTTTGATTATGCCCTCTATCCCCATAGGTGTCTGGCTCTTCGGAAAGTGGACCTTACACTCAGCTAACACAAGAGGAGCTGATCACACTGGTGGTGAAACAGCAGGGGGACCTGTCGAAGAAAGACGCTAAGATTGTGGAGCTGGAAGAGTACATAGACAACCTGCTGGTGCGCGTAATTGAGGAGAAACCCAGCATCCTGCAGTCCTTAGATGCTAAACCTAAATAAGGAGTTTTGAGTTGTAATCCTCTAATTTGTATGGCGGGAGGGGGAAGTGGAGGGGGGAATGACATATGCACTTTTTTCACTCGAGGAACTGTTAACAAGCACGTATTTATGGTAATGTATTTGCTGTATTATTAAGATCTTAATCATTGAAAACACTGAAATGAAATTATACTTCAAAGGAGTTGAGTTATATAGTCGGTGAGCTATGACACTTTTATTTCTGTACACTGTGTTTTACACTGCTGATCTATCAAACTTGAATAACATCACGGTCAGTCATTGGCCTTCATTTTTCTGTCATTTACTTTGGTGTTTTTAATCATCACAGGTAAATGTCAGTGGTGATGATTTGATGATTTTGTCAAGAATGTATTATAACAGCTAGGAGAAAAGAAATTATTGTTGGTGTATGTTGCTTATATGATAACGTTGGAAAAATATGTACTTTTGCTTGCACACTTGCACTCAATTGAAAAGATGTCAATTCTTATTTTACAATGATTGAATACAGTATATTATGTAATGTTTTGTATTTATAAAAAGACAACAAAGAACTCAGTTTCAGTCTTATCTGAACTAATCTTACCTTAAAATTGTTTAACTTAGAAAACCACCAGCACCATCTGTAGTCTTTTATACGCTGCATATTTGGTCTATAAGTTGAAAGCAATATTATTGATATTCTAAATATGTTTAGATGTTTCTGTGACGTATTTCTATCCGGCGACCTTTCTGTGACATTTAATTTGAGTTGTGTTAGCTTCCACAGATCTGTTTTTGTGGAGAAAGCATACTCAAATGATCTTGTACAAAGCTTTTGAACAAAACACATAAAAGGTATATTTTTATGAATATCAAATAAAAGACACTAATTATTTTATTAAATGTGTTTCAGTGTTGTTCATGTCATTTGAAGTAACATAAATGGTAGACAAGATGCAGGAAGCAAGCATTATGCCAATTAAGTTTTATCATTTTATTAGTTGACTATTGAGTCCATCTAGATGAGTTGAAATATTAGGCTGAGATTACATTTTAGATACATAAAATATAAAGTTATTTCATTGAAATGGATAGCAACATTTCCAAAGGTTGCTTCTTTTTTACACTTGACAAGGACATACCTATTTATAAACACCTCACAATACAGTCTGCCACTGAATAGAGCAGCAAGGCTAAATCTGCAGCTTTAAAAGCAAAGCAGTATTTTCAGACTTAAGTATGTACAATCTATGCATTTTCTTCATTTTTCGTATGAAGTATCAAAGAAGTATCGGCTCAGCATAATGTGATGGGACTAACTCACATCTTTCAATGTAATGATTTAAGTACAATTCCTGTCCTCCATTGATGTCAATAGCTGTAACAGACAAAAATCCTTTGTATACAAATGACTTGACATCACACTTTAAACTACACTGGCTGTGGCACAGTTATTGGCAGAGATGCCGATTCGCTGTCGGCACGTGAACATTTTCCTCAGCTCAGCGCGGAAGCGGTCGTGCAGCCAGGCATAGAGAAAAGGGTTACAGCACGAGGAGCTCATGGCACACAGGTGACACAACAGCTGAATGAGCAGGAAGTAACGCTTATCTATCAAACCAATGTCTATGTCTCTCAGCACATTGAACACACTAATGGGCATCCAACAGATGCCAAACGCTGCCACCACCAGGCTGACCAGGCGAAAGGTCTTGCGTTTCCGCATCCGCTGGGCCTCTGCCTGGCTCTCAGTCATATGTCCTGGCACTACACAGTTCCTCAGTTTGACGGAGATGCACAGGTAAGAGATGCAGAGTGCAGACAGAGGCAGCACATAGGTCACAAATAGGGTGCTGTATGCATAGGCCAAACGCTGATGCTCTTGGCCCATCCAGAACTCCTCGCAGATGGTGAAGCCCTCATTCTTAAACTCCACGTGGTAAGTGTGTGCTACAGCCGGTGCCACCAGGCTGCAGGAGAGAAGCCAGATCCCAGTCAGGAGGTAGGTGCAGGACAGAACTGAAAGACGTTTCTTCAGAGGATGCACTGTGGCGTAATATCTGTGAAGAAAAAAAGAGAGAAGCTGTTTAAAATGGAAATCTAAAACCCACTGTGGTGTGAAGCAAAAAAGAAATCACATTATCAGTCTATGGACAATTGGTCTTTTTAATCATTTATCAAAATATAACAGAGTTTTTCAGTATTATGTTCTCAGAATATCAGAAACAGAATGTACTATTTCAACCTGTGACATGCATTTATCTTATTGAAACACAAAGAGGAGGGCTGTAGCATGTCATTTTCCAACAGTATCGATTGAGTGTTGATTATGTCTCTGGCTCTCACTTACCGGTCCACACCAATAGCAGTGAGAGTGAAGACTGACACGTACACAGTCACAGGTTGGATGAGATAGACCAGGTAGCACATGAAACGCCCAAATACCCAGCCATGGGGGTTGAACGCGTATGCCAGGGTGAAAGGCACACATGTCGCACACATGAGCATGTCAGAGAAGGCCAGGTTTCCAATAAAGAAGTTGGTGACATTATGCATCTTGCGAGTGCGGCAGATCACATAGAGCAGCAAGTAATTTCCAAAGACGCCCACAAGAGCCACCACAGTGTAGCAGGGGATGATGAGAGGCTTGAATGACTGCAGCAGCTCTACGCCTTCAAACTGAGGACTGCGTTTGGATGAGCCATTCTGCAGGGACACCTCAAACACCTGGCCAGAGTCACTCTCATTCACTTCTGTGGGCCACACACTGCCAGTGTTCTCCATCCCCAACTAGTAACATCAACCTGGAAAAGGTAAAATCATTAGTATCCAAAAATAATACATATCCAATAACATGCTTTGTTAAATGTCAGCGTGTCGGCCGCCACAGAAATCAGTGGAAGTGACACAGGACTCCAGTTCTCCTGTTTTAAGCCTCATTAGAAATACCTGTGCTGTGAAACACTGCACACTTAATGAAAGGAAATGAATGAGCTCTTTTCCTCAGTACTGTACACAGTAGTCTTTTTAATACTGCAGAGACTTCAGGGTAGATAACATGCACTTAGTGTGTTTTCACACCAGAAACAGGCACCACATCAAAAATGAGACTTCAGATGGACTAAACCTACTGACACTAACTCAGAATAAGAATAGGACCAAACCAAGTCTATATTAGGATTCAAATGGACTAAGACCAGGACCAAACCAGGACAAAAGTATGAATGCACAAGTCAAACAAAAGACAACCATACTGTTAATATAATGATAATGTTAATATAACTCAGAAATTGTTTACCATGACATAATGTTTTAAACAGCAGCCTTAGATGTTGTTGTATGAATCTGAGTCTTACACACATAAGGCGATAACTGTAACACTGACAAATTTACATGTATATTGAACCTAAACAGAGGTGCGTCATGAGTGGACAATAGCAGCAGGATGAATGTTTATATAAGGCTACCTGAAGTGTTGTCCTCCTCATAATAGACAGGGTAAATGATAATGGGTAATGCACAACCACTAACAATAATAGGCTAGTTTTACCAAATTGTGAAAAAAGCACTGTCGACTGTTTTTGAGAATCATTACGCTCAACATGTTCAAAAATTCTTATTTCAACAAGCATTAGCCTGTGCGTTAACAAATTAAGAACACTGGCGTGATCAGCCTACTTTTTCTAGGCTACTATAATACCAGACCCATAGCTCATTTGCCTCCTCAGTCAATAAGTAGCCTCATTTAAAATAAATAATACCGTGCTCACAGTGCACTTACCTTCCCTGAGTTCCCCGTGAGAGAGCTGGATAAATTCGACCAGGAGAGATGGGATCCAACAGTCGCTCAAAAGCCGCTCTAAACCACGCGTCCTGGAGCCTCGGCAGTCAAGCTCGGTGAGAACGGTCATAACTGAACTGTGTGTAACGAGTGCGCGAGAGTAGCCGAGAAACATGTGCGCGCACGATCTGCAGCTCCGCGCATTTAAGCACCTGTAAAGTTGACTGACAGCTTCTGACGCGTGTCCCCTGTGCGCGCACCTCACAACCCCAAGGATCACAGGGGATAAACTAGCATCAATAATGTTTCTGCTACTTACCAAAGCGAAGGATCATCCCAAATAGTTCAACCATTATTATTATTATTATTATTATTATTATTATTATTAGCATAATGGGCAGGTATTAGGAAAAATGCTGTAGCCCATTGCCACAAATTTTTGAATTTCCCCCAAGTTTTTGCTATTACCAGGCCTAAAAATCAGGCCACAATTTTAGGCTACTTTATTTATAGCCTACATCTTGACCACTTTGAACCTCCTATTTTATTATTACATTTCATATGCTTTTATTGCATTGACTAGTAATAATGCCATAGCAACACCTGTAAGAAGTAGGCTACAAGTTTGGCCTAAATAAGAATGGTCATATTTCACAGCTTCATATAAGAAGTTGATTTTTAGACCTCAACACTTATGTCCATCTTAGTGTACACTTCTTTATTGTATCCTTAAACACAAAGCATGCGGGCCACATTCAGTGCTTGTTAATTAAAGCTCTGTAAGTTGTTAAAACACACTTAAAGCAAATATGTGTATGTGTGCTGACTGATCTAAAAGGCTGTTTTGTTTTTGTTTTATCCAAATGCTGGTCAGCAGTCACATAACCTGGTTAATTGCCACTTATGACCCAAAGTGTTTATTCCATTATGAAATTCAGATGTAGACCCTTTCCCATACACTCTGTAAAATCTTTTCACCCAGGTTACGAATTACAAGTTAATTACAGCAATTTGTATTTTTTATAATAGGGCAATTACGGGCAACAGTGTGGCATAATATTTGCATTTAATGAGTTGCTGATGTTACATGCAAGAATAAGCCAAAGGTGACACAGCAGTGGAGTTGGAGTAGACCACTGGGGGTCAGCGTATGAGCGTCATCTTCAAATATTTGACAAAGGGAGCAAGGCGCATACTGATAAGACTGTATGACGTAATGAGATGTCTGCATGACAAAAGACAGCTTTTTTTTATGAGAACAGATGGATCTTATTGCATCTATGATTGTTATTATTTGAAGGTGAAATAAAGTCAGTCAGAATTAGCTTTTTGATTATTTATACCAACTGACAATTAATCAACATGATCAAAATCAATACAAGATTCCATCTTACAGAAGTGGTCTATGCTCTTATTTAAAGGTGCATATTCATATATTTAAAGGGGGAAGATCCATCATCAGCTTGTCTCCTGAAAATGTAATTGCTTTGATTGAAATGTGCTACATTTATTTAATTCCAGGTATTTTCTTGCCAAAAATACTTGGTTAGGAGGAGTCACATGCTTGTCTCCATGGAGATAGCTCAGTTTTGTGAAACATTAACATTCAAAACAACTGCGTCTCCATGGAGAAAATCAGGTTTGGGCCCCTCCATCTAAAAACTCTCATAGCGACACTTTAAAATCATCAATGTTAAACAGGGCTATTTTGTTTGTTTGTTGGTTTATTTCTATTTTGAAGGTTTGTGATTTTTAAATAGCAAACACCCTTATTGACAATGCACATTTTCTTATGTTATATGTTTATAATTGCTAAATGGAACATCTGGTGGAGGGTCTGCCACCTGCTTGACTCCATGGAGATGTTGCTTTGTTTGAAATGCTCCACAGTAATGTGTTGATTATTTGCATGATCACAGTAGGAGTGCATGTTTTTCACCGTATTTTTGAACCACGTAATTAATCAAGTTGAATGGCCCACTAGAATAGGCACATATACAGATATATATTTAATCTTGTCAAATGGCTAGGGACAGTGAGATTGAAGACACTGTTTTAGGCACTTGATTAGCTTTAATTTAAACAGCTTTTTTCCATTTTAGATCAAGGAATGCAGCTGTCACAAGCTTAACCTGCCCCACTCTTCCCATGGGCCATACACAGTGCTGCATTTTAATGTTAATAATTTACTCATGCTAGGGCTCTGTGAGAACAACTGAAGATGGGTCCAACCAATAAAGTTTGGTACAAAAAGGGAAATACTCAAAATTCAAGTGCAAAAACATGTGTTGGATAATAGGCAACTGTGGATACTACCAGGGATGTTACTTGAATTTTGAATGAATAAAGCTCTTGTACCACACTTTAAGATGAAGATGAGAGATTTGTTTTTCCTTATGGATTGATTATTCAAGAGCTTTTCTTGGTTGAGTAGAGGAAAGGTAAAGTAAACACGGTAAGGTCAAAGCTAATCCAACGTCACAGTGATGTTTTCTCTTGAAAATAACAGTTGCGTACACACAAGGAAATGATGCAATGATGTTGATGTTCTATTCAAATGACTTGCTGATCATTTGATCTGTGTTCTGGTTTGTGTTGAAAGAAGCATGTGCTTTTTATTGTAACTGGACTTCCCACAGCTTGTACCTTCCTTTGAATCACTAAAAGATCCTACTAACATTGTATATTCGTCTTCACATACTGTTACACTTACTTTTTCATGTTAAAGTTGTGTGTAACATTTGTTTATTTTTGTCAAAATATTGATCAATTTGACAGTTTTTAAAGCTACACTGGCATGTTGAAAAAGTCAAGCATATCATCATGCCATGCATTTCCTTTTTTCATAGTCTGTACCTTGTGCTCACAATGCTCTATACAATCCCTATGTCCATTGAAGGCGTTGCATTTAGAGCCCTGCCCTTCTCCAGTCTCCACCACTCAAGTCTAATTTCAGAGACGAAAGGTGCAAGTTATGTTCATGGAGCACTTTGAGTGTTCAATCAGTCCATATTTTTTTTCTTACGTTATATTGCTGTCTAGAGTTATATACAGTATATGGAAGTGTCCATTTCTCCCTAGTCTATAATTCTCTTAAATAATAGTAGTTAACTTTTCAAATACTGTGGCATGATCAGCCCTTTGGTTAGGTAACAGCTTGTATTGTACTAACTTTAACAAAAGCCAGTCTTTAGAGTAGTAACAAGCAGATATTGCCTGTGATTCTGGGTGAGTCACGCCTAATCATTGATCAGCGTTGACCAGATCTCCACTGGCTGCACCCGTGGGCCTGCGGCTTCACAGTCAACTGACATAATTTGCACCAGTCATGATGAAGGCATGCTCTGCTCCTGCTCCCCGCCAGTTCATCGATTTGATCCAATCACTGTCTGTACAAAGTGTTAAGAGGATTTTAAGATTGTGGTTAACTTTGTTAATGCAATACAAAGACACCCAAAACTTTGTGATTTTTAAATTTTATGTCCATGTAGGGGAGGTTTCATTTTTGAGTCATTTGTTCATAAAGACCAAAGTCCAAATCCAGTTCTAGGGTTCAATTGTCTATAGAGTTTTAAATTGCCATAATTTTATTTCAGAGCAACAGTGTGCTTTGTTGATTAACATCAAGTCAGTTTCTAATCTTGAATCTGTATTACACACATTGGAGACATGTCCAAGTTATACTCTGCAGCCAATTTAGATGGATGATCCAGCTTGGGGGACATTGACCTGGGTGATTGGTATGTTTTCTGCAATTACCATCAAACATAACTTAAAAGACACTGAACTGTCCCAGGCATAGTCTTGCTTATGCATGCTTTGATGTACTTGAGGAGTTCAAAACTACATCAAAAGGACTTGATTGTGTGATTGGTCCTGCAGGTTGATTGGTCCTGCAGTTTCTCAAGGTTGCTCACATGAAAAGGCAAAGACCACAGCTGCATTAAAATACCCTGTTCTCATGGAATTAAAAGCTAATGTAAAATATTTGCTACACTATACACCTGAAACTTAACATTACTATCATTGCTGAACCCTTATGCTGAATGAATGAACTTAACTGCTATATTCATTGCAAAAAGGCTTTTGGTTGTGGGATCTGACAACCCAAAGAGGAGAGCTCATTCTGCTTTTTTGAATATTGGACCAAAAAGTTAACATTTTGGACACTGATGGTAATGTTTATGAAATGAAATGAAATGAAGTCTCCTAAACTGTAAGTGTATGTAATTGAAATTTCACCTTTATCTTACAAATGTCTGTTCAAATCTGGGAAAAACAATTCTCATTTACAAATCTGACCTTAATATGATCAAAGGATACTTAGAGGGTGAAGGAATATATGTGAGTAAATATATAAGTTGTGAGAGTGAGACAGACAGGCAGAAACAACACTCAAGTCACAATTTGATTCACCGTTTTAAATTTACAGCCACTTTAAATATTAATTAACAAAATGTAGTGTAACTAAAAATAGCTATATATCCACATTGTAAACTTACATTTTATATTCCATACACAATTTACAATAGACAGCATTAGTATAAATGATTATAACATTTACAAGATGCAGTATTAAATGGCAGTGTGTTCACCTAAATGATGAGGATTCTTTATCCAGTAGAAACATATTTTTACGATATATCTTTGCTGTTACATGCAACTGCTAATGCATAAGAAAACACTTTGTCACTTAAGAGTAGAGCTATTAGCCTGAATGGGTTAATGACTAAAATGAATTAGTAAATTTCTATACTTTGACCTCTGTAACAATCACAATGTCACAGTGAAGTGGCTTGATGTATAGACTCTGCTACATACTCCAGATTCCCTCCATTGATTGCACTCACATTTAGGCAGCCGTTTGGTAGAAGGTAGACATGCTTTGAGTTCACCAAGAATTCCACCTGTGGGTCTAAATGATGAGAAAAAAACAATTATTGACCAAATGTTTTCATGCAGAGAGTTGTGAGTTGAGGCTGCTACACAATGGATCAAAAATCTGAAGTATTAAAGTATTAAAAGCATGTTGTAATAACTAGAATGAATGCAATGTGTAGCTCAGTAAGCAGCCTATATTGTCAAGTTTGTTTAAATTTCTCACCACTTAATCCAATACAGCTAAATAGTCCTTGCTGTGTAGTGAGATGGTCCCAAATGCCTGGACATCCTAAATGTCTCAGTCTTTCTCTCAAAAGCTGTCGGATCAACATGCACCTTTCAACAACCCGCTTTATCTCTTCTTGCCTGTTAAACAAAGAAGAAAGGAAAATGTGTTCATAAAATTATTATATTCCATCTGATGATTAACATATTATATATAGTATTTAATTAAAATCATAAGGAATAATAGTGGCCCACTGTGATTCAACGATTATTCAATCACTTACCACTCAACAAAATGGGCTGGATTACTCAGAATAGTGGCAACAATATGTGCGCCCATCATAGAAGGCTGAGCCCAAAGGGATTTCACAATCTCCCTAGCACGACACTGCTTTTTTATCAGAAGAGAGTTGTCTTTTAAGACATATATAAGATGACCGACAGCCTCACCTGGTAAAGGAAAGAACAGTGATGAAATAAATCAATAGCTTTATAAGGCAGATCCTGCCTCCAGGATGCAATGTTGTTGATTTGGTATCTAAGATATAGTTTTATATTTTTTTCTTTACATGTGCATTAATGGAAAAACAATATTTTACTGTGTCTACAGATAGATTTTAAGGTGCATAATACAGTGAGAAAGCTCACTATAGACAATTGTATTGAAAGGTCCATCAAGAAAAAAGAGGACAAGGAAAATAAGGTAATTTAAGTCTTTTCCCTTCTTACATGTTTTTTCAGGAAAAATATTCATAGTAATCATTGCAATATAATGATATTCTGTGAATTTTCTACCGTATTGTCCGAAGCAGTGGGAGAACGACTGTGCACAGATGAGCTCCATCCCCAGCGCCGCACACTTCTGAATGGGCCTTGAATCACGCCCCAAATCCCCAGTACAGAGAGCATGTATGGGCAGTAGAAAGAAAGGAAACAGCATGCGCCTCTACCACGATATGTACAATAATGGTGACATGAACTGCATGATTGAATATACTTTTTTATAAATGTTACTAATCTACCTTAACGATTTGTGTAATCACATCCCACTGATTTTCAGTAAGGTCAACTCCGGTTGGGTAATGGCCTGATGCAGACAGAACCACAACACTTCGCTGTGGAGCTTTCTCCAGATCCTCCACAAGCTTGTCCAAACAAACACCACGCAGCTTATCATCCCAATAGTAATACTGGCGGATATCGTGGATGCCTGCTGCCTTGAAGATACCAGCCAATGAGCCTGCAGGAGGGATCAAGATAGCATATCAGACAAGACAGAAAAACTCACAAAGGAAAGCAAACCCCAAGACCCTTCACTTTAAATTACATATAGTGTGTTAAACCTTTTTTACTCTTAAAGCTGCTGAATAATCGAAAAAGACACAAGTAAATTATGTACTGAGTCAGAACTCTGTTTATAGAAAATGTTAATGTAATCCTTATTAATATATTCTTATTCATCAATCTGTATTCATATAACTTTTTAATTAAGTTATTTGAGATAAAAGAATGAGAACTTTACTCATCAATTACTTCAGATGGGTGCGTTGGAGGAGAAGGAGCAGCCCAAGAACATGGAGAAAAATCCTGCACACAGTCTTACTTGCAAATTGTAGATTTATAGATTTATTAGGACAAACTGTGCAACGTTTCAGCACTAGGCCTTTGCCAGGCAAAAAAATTAAGTTATTTGGGAAAAAGAAAGAAAGAAGTTGCCAGAGATGACATTTATCTTTGTGCTTTAATGTTGTTAATTGCTATAGCTGTGGTACTATTTTGTTACTATTTTGAAACCCATAGACGGTGGATCTATATTTATATATTGTATATATTATTTTTTTGCTGTTGACCACTCAGTTCCTCAAATTAACATAATAAAAAGAACAAGACATGAGAAAAATGTGAAACAATATATCAACAGAGAACACCAATATGCCTTGAAAACATAAGCCTTGCACAATGTAATTCTTGCTTACAAACAAGTATCAGGTAGTTACCATCACAAGGGACAGACAGGTACACTGGCCCTGACCAAGAAGTGTTTTCAAACCACTCTCTTAAGAGTTCAGCTCCCAGACGTACAGCAGCATTAAAACCAGGAGTCTGGACCTTCAACACCTGCATCAGAAAAGTTATTTAGTACAGCTCTATTAATAATAAACACACAAAACAAACAAAGTACCCGGCTCTCCAGTCTTGGCTTCAGACTTCCCCCCAAGGTAACGTTTGTGGCTTGTCTGGTAAATTCTGTCAGCCCAAGAGGCGACGGGTACTCCGGACGAAAGGTCGGGTCTGTACTTAACTGGTGCTTTATTTTGCTGACAAGTCGCAGTTCAGTTGTTTGCCCATCGTCACCAAAATACTCTGTGGAAAGAAATAAAAAATATTGTATTGAGTCCCAACCATTGAAAAAAAACATACTTTGTTTTCAGTTATTTAATAATGACGTTATAGCCTATGATAATAATTTGGCCTAATATTGTGTATAAATGGTTAGTAATAAGATTCGATATGCCAGTGAATTGCTGTGTGGCATCACAACATTGTAAAGCCCAATAATATTTAATACAGACAGGGGGTAGCTAAAACGAATCGGCTATTAAAATGGAGGATGATGTTCTAGGGTCTAATCAACAATAGAAATGATCAGGTTCAATATTTGTCAGCTTTCCTTGTGGATATTTCATGACAAAATGCAAAGTAATCAATAGGGAATATTGGAAAGAATTTGGAAGTACGATATCATCACAATATACGGCTGAATGGACAATAATCTACATTATAAATGCTTTATTTTGTTGTTTTTTGGTATATAATCTCAGTGTGGTCCTGAAAATAACCTTCAAAATGTATTTCTATTTCATATTTATTTTTATCACTTTACAAGGCTTCAGAAATGGATTATTCTATTTTTCCCATTATCATTCCTCCTGTAGCCACAGTACCTCAACTTTTATTGTTACGTTTTGTCAATAAAGTTTAGTCAAATTAATCACACTTCCTGTACAGTTTAGCTAACGAGTCAGTTGTTAGCCACGTTCAAGCAAGTCAGGATTACGTTTGCCTTGTTTTTATTTGTTTGTTTAGTAACCTCAACATGATTGCTCAAACAGGTCAGAGGGTTTATAGCACCCACTGAGCAACTCAACCCATCCTCCTTCCCAGCGCGACGGACCAATTCTGCACTTACCGCGTCCTGCCAGGTAAACTTTGCTTGCTTCAGTGTCTTTCCTAAATGCGGACAACACTCTCGTTTCAGGCTGCTCCGTGCTGTTGGGGGCAAACTCCTGACCTCCAGCTCCTTGGTAGTGGTTTTCATTTTGGTCGTCCCCGTTTTTTTCAGGGCAACTGCTGGGACGACTCATCTTCAACATAGGCAGCCAAATCAAACGCTATGCGCCCTCTTCACGCAGCCTTTTGTTTAGGCGCTGTTGCCCGGGAAACCACACGCAGTTAGAACACTGTCACCAGGCAACCGTTATGGATGAGCTTGTCCCTCGCTAATATAACGTGAAACCCCAAGGAACCGCAAGGTTTTGATTGAATTCCATAAACATGACGTTTTATGTGCCCCCAGATGAGATACATAGGTTCAAATCAAATTAGCCTAGCTTTTACTGATAACAATTATAATCCTGATTTATTTTTAATTACGAAAACATTAGGATAGGTAGTCCAGCTGGTTCAACCCTAGGCCTATTCAGACTCTCTCTGATCTGAATCCTCACTACCTAAAGCCCAGCACCTATAGCCAATCCATTATCAGTGCTAATTCTGGAGGTTCTGAACTCTAAGAAAAATGTGTAGGTCTGTATGTTCCCTACATGCATGTTAACGGCGCATTGTGTAACTTTTTTGGTGGAGGGTCCGTCAACTGCTTGTTTCTATGGATATGTCATTGCTCTGCCTGGAATGTTCCACAGTATGACATTAAACATTTTTATTTTACATTTATTCAATTACAGATGGTTTTATAGCTCAAAAATACCTAGAAAAACATGCATTCTGATGGGTTGCCTCTCCATAGATCTGACGTGTAACTTTGGTCTCCATGAAGATAGAAAGATTTAATAATACTGTGAAACATTCTAGACAAAGCAATAACATCTCCCTGGAGAAAAGCATTTGACAGACCCTCCACCAGAAAAGTTACACAATGCACCTTTCAGGCACTGGAAGACACTTTTTTTTTACTGTTTTTTTTTTTTTTATAAACAAGTGTGCATGCCTCACCTGGCACCTTTCCACCACCTGTCTTTATATTGCTTAGAATGGAATGTTTCATATGACTGCATAAAACCCAGGGGTTAAAGTGGGTTGTAACACTCCAGCACCTTGAATGATAAAAAAGTTGTGTCTGCGAATGACAAACAGCAACAGCAGCAAACAGAGTGACAAGTGTATGCATTTATTGTGCATTAAATCAAAGCAATAACATGGGGCAAAGCATTTGCCTTGGCAATGTAAGTAGGGTGAATTATTCCTCCTTTTGTTGTCATGCATTTAGTCGTCTGACACTCATACCAATTATTTAGAGAATGTCCCATTTTTTCATTGATTCCACATGAATGTATGCATAATAATATATATTTTACTTTTTCTTTTTTCTTCTTATGTTGGAACCTGGATGTTACTTGAAAATCTTATGTTTTTGCAGCTATTATCTATGAGCTTAAATTTCCAGGGTCCATTCCTACATGTCTCACCACATTCACTGACATGCCTCTTTTTCCCTTAAATTAGAGGTGGTTGTCCCAAGATTAAGACTAAGATTAAGTTTTGATTTGTTTTTATTATGATTTTAATGTATTTCTTATTCTGTAAAGCACTTTGAATTACTTTGTGTACGAATTGTGCTATACAAATAAACTTGCCTTGCCTTGCCTAAGACATCAACAAAACAGAAGAAGATGAATGTGGACCATAGGAGTCTGAGTTGGGCTTATTATCCCTTTATTTTTTGTTTAAATATGGTTCAAGCTCTTGGATAGTCATACCATAGAACGCCCTTGTTTACAATAAGCTACATATAATAAATCAATTCCTCTTCTTGTCAAGATTGAGTTTTCAATTCAATTGCTCAAGTAACAGCAGTTCCCTGAGGGCACAGACAAAACCCCCATTTATCAATGCACTCATAATAAAGTAATAGTTACAAATGACTGCACTAGATGGCAGTAGATGGCTAAAACATACAATTAAGGAAGTAAAAGGGTAAAGGCTATTATAACTGTTCTGTGTAGCTGATTTAGCACCTGCTTTTATTTTTATCCTTTCACAGAATTGGTGTGGTAATGCTTGAAAGGAGAGCCTTTTCACACTCATTTCTCATGTTAAATGTGTCATATGGAAACTGATCAAAGAGAGTGAAAACACAGCATGTTCCAACCACAGTCTGTGTGTGCCTGTGTGTGATGGACATTTCCTTGTGCAGACATTGGCATCGGAAAGAACCTTCAGAGAAAGACTTTATTTAATTTAGAGAACGACAAAACCATTTAATCACGGTAAACTCTGTGTTCTTGAGGTTGATGGATTTTCCTTCCTTTTCACTTATAGATGCAGCCGTTGCTATGTGGTGTAGTTATCTGTATTTACCCAGCTGTGCAATAGTAAATTGCATGTAACAAAAGTGTATCCAGATACACCAAGACACACGATCAATTAACCTATAATAAAGGAGTAACAATTACTAAGTTGGTAGGGTATAGTCACTTAAGCACACTCTTATTGCTTTCCTGAAATATTCCACAGTAAGACTTTATAGTGATATATTTCAAGACAAGTAGGTGGCGCCACCAGGTCACATTACTAGTCTCATCTGTGGAGTGATAATTTCTCACACTCACTGTATTTCACTCAAATTTGAAAACATGTGCACTTTAATGTGTCAAAAATCCCTACATTTAGTGACTGATTACTGATGGTTACAATCTTACAGTGGGGTGTCCCTGGCTATACAATGAATACATTATAAAAACAAATACCCATATTAAAAAAATCAACCTCTATATCAGATTTATTTGACTCCAAAGCACAGTGTTACTTCAGGCATTGCATCCAAGCACTATCCAGCAGTCTCCTTATTAAGTTACCCTGCTTTTATTGGATTAGAGTGGTCTGAATTGAGCTGTGAAGTTTACTTTATGTCTGACAAGCTCTGGAGAAAAGTGACTGTGGTAAATAAGGCTGGTGTCATCTGAGGACACACTATAAGCACAGGAAGCCCAGGGAACACTTTTTAATTTTCCTTTTGCAATAGAAGCAATGTTCATGCCTGCTTTCCACTGGCAAGATGATTCATTTCTGCATTAGACTCAATTGCACAATATTCTAATCATGATGAAAACTAAAAGATGTTAGAGTTCAGCTGTCCTTTCTCCTTTTTCCCATGTTTAAAAACCACCTGCTCTGTTTTTGACTGGTAACTGCAGACTCAATCACTCAATGTTTTATATTTGGAATATAAAGTGATTTATTTTAGTGTTCCTATTGGGATCCTGTATCTTATCAACACTTGAAAGTGGGGGTTTCTGTAAAATAATGTTTGGATTTGGTTCCAATCTAGTTGAGTTTACAGAAACATTGTTGTAGGAATGAGCTGATAAGCTTAGGCTTTAACTTGAGACAGGATATTATCTTCCATCCCAAGTTGTTGGCCTGAAATACTGCTTTTTTTTGGTGGTCCCACAAGCAAGATGTATTTTTCAGGTTGTTTCGAACATGGCCTGCATTTCTGATTTGGTATTTTCTCTTGCAGGGTCTCTGACGTTGTTCAATATTGTTCCTTGGAAGATGAGAAGTTATACCACACGTCATCCATTGGCGGCAATCTAAGTGTACGCTTCAGTCATTTCCCTCCCTGTGATACATGCTGGTACTGTAGCTTAGGACAAGAAATGTTTTCAATTTTATTTTCAACTTGGTATTCTAACAGACGTTTTAACATTCTTATCAAAATGTCCACAACATAATACCAGATTTATTTTTTATTTCAGCTGTCTTCAATGTCAGTGCAACACTGATGGCAGTTCTATTAACCCTCTCCAGGCAGGCGTTGCAGATTTGCAACAGCTAAATTCCAATTACCTACTTACTCCACATCCATATTATATGAGCTTTTTTTACTCAGGAGCCTTTTCTCCCATCCATGCTGATAAACGTGGGCAATGCAGACTGTGCAAGAATGGCTACACGCAAACGGCCTGCCAGAAGTACAAAATACTTTTTTTTTTTTTTTTTTTTTACAAAGGATAAAAAAGTCAGAATTGTATATTACTACCCCATATTATAATTTTCCCCAAATATCAGATTTTTCCTGATACTAAAAATTAATTTGAGCCTGAGAGGGTTAAAACCAATGATGAATTATGTAAAATGCTTTGTTTACAATACAATTCAATTTTTTTTTTTTCTGTTGTGACACAACTTGTCCATTGTCTAGTAAGCATTATTTGGCAGTTTTGTAATACTGTACCACTGGAGATTTCTTGATTTTACAGCCTGTTTGTCTGAAAAATAAATATTCATTGCCATTGTACTGTATGTTATAACAGACTTTAGGACTCATACAAAAAATAAAATTAAAAAAGATTGTGCGGATACAGAGTTTTGGTTCAAAAGATAAAGAAAATTAAGACTGGATTTAAATATGTGACGGCACAGTTTATTTTTCAGCATTTCTGTCAAATGCTTCCCATTCGGTCAGCTTTGGTTTTGTCAACAAGTCATAAATAACAATACTGTAAAAGTCGGCCTTTGATTCTCACAATAGTTTTGAATATTCCTAGATTCACTTTGCCGCAGGTGATTCTTCCAAGTTCAGTCAGTGGGTTCAAGGCTTGTCATGTGCTAGGATGCGTTCAGCAGGTGTTCCTCTTTTCTTCACAGTGTCCTTAGTGTTTTGTTCGTTGCCATGAAAAAAACAGTAGCGGATTCATGTTTCTTTAATATTCATACTCCATCCTCATCTGCTTCTTGTAAAGTAAAGCTGCAGAGAGAAAGAAATGTGTCTTATTAATACAACTAGTCAGAAAAGAGTTGTAAAAATGTATCATGTTCTAAATTAAAACTAGAAAAGATTCTTTTTAATTCATGTAACACCACTAGCTAGAATGTCATCACTACCTATGTTATCATTAGCCAATAGTATGACTAACATTTAGGGCAGTAGTCGCCTAAAAAAAATGGTCAGCTGTAAAGACATGCCTTGGGCATCACAGTCTACTAAAAGACGGTGTGACGTAACACTTGCAACCTGTCAGGAACCAGACTAATATGTGTAGCACTGAGTTCTAACCCTTCGGTGTCCCCAGTTTCAGTTTGATGTGACCAACAGGCGGATAAATGGATTAAGTTATATATTTTGTTCTGAATGATATGACAGTTTTTGAGAGGAATGGTCTTCTGCATTTGAGAGACACATGCTACAAATTAGCTTCTGTGATTGGACCATCTCAAGTTATTAGGGTTGTTTTGTCACTATTTATGGTCCAGACCCTGCATTCGAACAGATTATATGAGGGACTGGCTGATAAGGCAACATTGCAGGAATTCATCTGACTTTGCTAATGACACTGACAAAAGTTCTCACAACTTTAAGTACCAATATAGACCAATATAGTTGAGCCAAACTGTAATTACTAAACAAGAGAAAGTACTTGTAAACTTTGTATTCATATTTGAGGAGGAGAACAAACTCTCACAAGACTCCGACTATCTCACTCTATGCCTTCTCCTATCTGCAGAGGTTTAAAGAAATAGCCTATATACAATTAAACAGTCAGCTACTAAAAATGGTTCACTAAGACACCACTGGCCGATCCATCGCCTGTTTGACTTAACGCTTACAGTCCTGCATTTGGTTGAAGTAACTGAAAACCTTCGGCTGCTATATGCAGAATGCTAAAGTGCCCCTCATTCACTGGCCTTCTCTCTCTCCAAACAAAACAGGAATCTGATGCTATCATGGCTTTGAACATGTCTACACAGGAAGATGTATAGATGACTTGGAACAGATCCTGATCTTCAACAGAACAACTGGAAGGCAAGAACTCTGAACTACAGCTAAAGGTACACCTTTGTATTGGGACTACATTGGTATGTGTGCACTACATTCTCTGCAGACTCTGTGCAATGCAGTGCAAACAGAAATTACTTTATCTTTGAGGTTTAGATGTCAAGCCCAAATGTTTTGTTTCTTCTTTTAAAATATTGATTTATTATTATTATTTCTCTATTTATTATCAAATTTTTGTTACCAGTTTGCAATAAAGGAAAACTAAAAACTTTTTAGCTAAACTATAACTTCACATCCATGCAAAGACCATGGTTCAGTGTGAATGATCCTGAATTCCAGCTAAAGCATAGATGTTTCCCACAGGACAATTCCTCAATGTTTAGTTTTATCCTACTGCCTGCACTCCTTCATGCTCTCTTGGACTTGATCTCTGCCTGAGCATACTAAAGGCACATTATAGGCGCCGGGGAGACAAAGTTAGTTCAGAAAGATCCTGGACTCCGTGACGGCACAGGAAAAAAAGCATTAGTGCTAGCCAGACCCCTCCTCAAACACAATCAAAACATCAGTTTGCGTAATGTGGGCCTAATCATATGCTTACTGCAGCACCTTAACCTTTTACACCAGTATACAGAGTGCTTTGAATGTACTCTAGACGTCAACAGTACAGTAAAGATAATGCCTAAAGCATTACAGAAAAGGTTGATGTTTTTCTAATGCTATTGGTAACATCGTGGCAATAGTGGTTAGTTCAAAGTTTATGACAAAACAAAGTTGACACTGCTCACATAGAGATGATTAACAGCAGTTGTCTTCGAAGTACCATTTGCTGTATGATCCCCGTCTGACTAAAAGCAAAAAAAAAAAAAAGCTAAAATAGGTGGTAAGGTGATATTCTGTGGTGCTTGGAAGTCTTTGCAGTTCTAATTTAACTTCCTGTTGTAATAGCTCTGGAACAAACATAAAAAAAAAAGTAAACAAAAATGTCGTGGGACAACCCGATAAGATGCTGGGTCACTGATACATTTATCACACTGTTGTGTATGTAATTTTAAAATCTCCATTACTTTAACATTAGGCTAAAATAGTCCTTATCTCTATTGGGAATTTATTTTGATGAGCCCTGGAGTTGAGAAGTTCTAGTCCTGTTTATTGTTTGATTTGATCCTGGTACTGTTTCTTCATGAATGTTTATTTTAAATATAACTATTGTATCTGTATTAATGTTATATTTGTTAAGGTTTTAGTCTATGAGAAATGTTTTATAATAATATTTCTGACACCATTTCTGAAACTAGATAATACAAATCTTTATGAAAAATATTTTTGAATAAATGTAAACTGAACTCACAGATAAAGCACTGGCATCAAATTAGCATAAATTCCTTGTATTAGTTTTAGTTCCAGCACATTAGCAGATTTTGCAAAGTGTGACTGAGATCAGACAGGTTTAGGTCAGATACCATTAAATCCATTTTGCACAGGGCCTGCTCCAGCACCTCTTTTTTTGACCATCGAACTCTAAAGTGAAATAGAATGTTTCAGTTTGCCCCTGTTAGCACTGTCAATGTCATACAGCAAATGCTTTTCAAACAGAAAATATATACATTGCTACAGGTTACATTTTAAGCTTTTAGCTGTGGTTTTACTACTTACTATACTTACTTGAGTAATATTCTTTCAGTCTGTATACACAATAATTGAATTGGACCTGAGTATTAACAGTAGCCCTTCCCCTATAATAATAATAATTTTTGTGACATCTGAGATATCTGAGCAAAACTAACTTCTGTCTATTCATCTATTCTGCTGCTTACTTGGCTGCATCTCAGTCATAGACTACAGTCTATGGTCTCAGTCCAATGAAATAAAATTTTCCTAAATTCCTAATCTTGGATCAAGTGTGCTAAGAGCTCACCCTGCACATAATACTGTAATATCCTTAAATACATGTTTGAAGAGGTACAAAGACCAGAGAGGCAAGTCATAACATGTCTGAACTATACTATATTTTACTAGGTAGGCTATTCACCCTAATTAATTACTTAACTACATATTGAATCTCTGTTCTTCTGCTCTTCTCTCTCTCTCTTCTTCAAATTGACATGTAATTATTGTCTCTTGGAAAAGAACACACCTTGCAGGACAAAACGTTTCTTACAAGACAATGGTTTCACAAATATGACAAGAGTAGATGTACATTTGACTGATGGTGTATAATATGCCCATTCCTTTACTATGTGAAGCAGTGCATACGTGACACAAGCTGGAGGGTGCAAGAGTGTTGATAAGGGTGCCTGTATTGTTGCCTGTCAAGTATTTGTATGAAAACACAAGGTTGGTGATGCCTCTTTTCATAGCAGCCTAATATGGTTTATTACTCCTAATGTCAACTAGGTGTTCACAGTTAGTTAGATTTATTTTTACTGGCAAGAACCTAGGGATAGATGTATAATAATTTATTTTTTATGTAAAGAAGAGTTTTTATGATTTAAAACCTTACAGTGCACCACTACACAGCTGGATGCTCATATCAGTATTTATCAAATTTTTCACAAATCATATTTTCTCCCAGACAACACTTAAGATATTTGATAGATTGATACATTTCCAAACGTCCACTCATTTTGATAATAACTCCAATTCTGCTCATAACTGTTAAACTACTGAAGTTTGATTTAATGTCTGACTGACAGTATTTGGTCATGATGCTTGACTTTTCCTGTGGCGGCTGCTCCCACTTAACATCTCTAATCCAGCTCAAAGTACTTCCCTGAACCCACCGAGCCTTCCCCACGGCTGATTTACAGCCCAGCTAAGCGCTCGCCTTTTAAGGAAGACTTTTATAAGCTCTTAAATATCTCACGTTTTTATAGCCCTCATTGATTATGTCTGCAGTGTGAATCCATGCAGACAAGAGTTTTCTTGTCAAGAAAGAGAAAAGGAAATACAGAGCGCTGTGTCAATATTTAAAATGAAATATTTGCCTGGAATAAAAGTAGGTTACTCACAGGGATTACAAAAGGTGATGTTAGGATTCTACTCCCAAAATCCACATCTATTGAAAAAATCCTCTTTTTTAATTATTCTTTATTATAATTTTAACTTTAACTTTGATAACTAAACAGCAGTGTTATACTTTTGCATTACATTTAGGATAATTGAGGTACAAGATAATTTAAGTTAATATGCAAGTAATAAACCATTTAATGGTTACCATATTGTTAATTTACAATTCATTATAAATGCATACAAGCTGCATCATTTTCTTTTTGACCAATAATGAAATATGCTGCGTGTGGGTTTTGTGCAGTATTTTTACTTTTAATAAGGTTGCTTAGATTTAGAAAGTGCAGATGCATCCAGTTGTTTTCTTGAATTGTAAGGCTAATATTAAACTGTCACAACACAGGTTAACCTGATGCATTTCAAGAGTCCTGATTGGCTGAGGTCTAAGTAGCCTCCTCCCCTGGTTACCGTGGTGTCTGTGTGTGTTGTTGATAAAAATTTATCAGTAATGCAGGACGATGGGCAGGGCACACAGAGGCCCTCTAACAGGCGTGCACACTGCATTCAGTGGAAACAACTTGTTCTGTGAATTGACCTGAAGTTTGACAGGGAGCCGGCTGATTAAGATTAATGATATGCATTGTTGACTGCACTGGTCTGAAATATTATTCCACAGATTACCAACAATATGTTTGTAATGGGAGACAGACATGTGTGTGTTATTCTTCCTGTTCTGACATCAGCAGGATTAGAAAGATGGTTGTAGGTAACACAGAAAAAGCACATCATTTAAGTGTTTATTTCCTCTGGGACAGAAATACACCTCTTAAATTTCACTTTTCGTTTAGTAATTCTGAAACACTGGCACAGCTGCCAGGGCAGCAGACAGGGTTATTTTTATAAAACCGTTCCACTCAATTTATTTCAGAGTCGGCATGTATTACAATGTCCAAATATGGACTTCCAAATGAGTCACTTTGCAAAACATGAAATTAAATATTCAAATGTTCATAATTATATAAAATAGTACATTTTGTACTGAAAATGTGGTAGATTTTGGCTTTAGCTTTAACTCAATATGAAAGTTACAAATATATTTATCATTATATTTTATTTATTTTTGATTTTGAAAGTTTTTGTTAATAATGATTTTTATATACTTTCTTCGGAGTCAGTGGCCTAATCATGGACCCAACAGCTTTGGAAATGTGTGACTGGACAGGGGTAGCATGATTCAGAGCTATTTTCATTTATATAGATTACTTAAATTTGAATGAAAAAAAATGTAAGAAAGTAAACTACAATTGTAATTGCCAGATTCATTTAAAATAGTGTGTTTTTGGTAAATCTTACCAAGAGGTTCCGGGCTCAGATATGTCACTGTACAGTGTGGTCCCGTTGGACTGCAGAGGAGCAGTAGATGCCTCTTCACTGCGATAGCTCCCCAGTGTGCTGGCCAGGCTCTCAGTGCCCTCCATCGTTCCATTGGGAGGCTTTTGGAAGGTGCGAGTATTGACCGTCTCTGCCTCCCAAAGAAAACAAGGGCAGCGAGTCTGAAGCTCTTTATACAAAGAGTTGAGCCATAATGTGGACAGCCAGGGGCAACCCAGCAAGTTCTTAAAGGCAGTTCGAAACTCTGGGCTCCTGCAATAAATAATGGGATTGAGGCCTGAGTTTATGTACCCAAACCAGTTCAGGAGTCTGAAGATCCAGTCTGGGATGCCTCTGTAAAATACATTGATAATGTTGGCCACAAAGAAGGGCAGCCAGCAGACAGTAAAAGTCCCCATGATGATACCTAAAGTCTTGAGTGCTTTGTGCTCCTTCACCAGCATCAGGCGGGAGGGCCTGCGCTTGGTGCTCTTCCTTTTGGTGGCATTGCAGCCGCTGTAGGCTGCACATGCAGACGGCAGTATGTTATTTATATGGAGTCCCACTTGTAGCTGTCCTGAACCCTCATGTTGGAAACGCAGTCTGTTCTTGTCTATTAGCTGTACCTGCCGTGTTGCTATCAAAAACACTTTAGCATAGACAAAAATCATTATGAGGAGTGGAATATAAAAAGAAACTGTAGAGGAAATAATAGCAAAGGGCATGTTGGTCACAAAGTCACAGCATGCAGGTTCATTGTAGCATTTGATAGCTTCTTTATCATCGTTGGCTCGCCAATAGCCATTCATTATTGGTACAAATGATATTAGAGCTGACACCAACCACACCAAGCACACAATGACACGGGCCCTCAACTTGTTGAGCAGCACCTTGTGCCGTAGTGGCCTGGTGATGGCAATGTAGCGATCCACTGCGATCACACACAGAGTCTCAATACTCGCGGTTACACAGAGGACATCCACTGATGTCCAAAAGTCACAGAACACTTCACTGAGCTGCCAGTTCCCCGTCACCACTATAGTGGCCCCCAGAGGGACCACAAATACCCCCATGATGAGGTCAGCACAGGCCAGAGACATGATGAAGATGTTGGTGGTGGTCTGGAGCTGTGAGGTGTGCGCCACAGCGATAATGACCAGCAGGTTTCCCACCACGATGGTGGGGATGATCAGCACTATCACCACCAGACTCCAGGGCCCTGCTGCTGGGTGGTACGACTCAGTGCCATTGGTCAGACTGGCCGCTGTTGTGATATCCATAATTATGCACAAGTCAGTCACACATAGGAGGGATCCCCAAACTCCCAAATCTGCAGCATTCTTGCATCACAGTTTTCCTCAAAACTATTTGTCACTTATACCCACATATTGCCGACACTTTACACTTTGTCTTGTCTGAAGCGTGCGGTATTTTCAATAACATTGTTCCAGTGTAGATCTTGACATGTTGCTGATAGATCTGTCCACTCTATAAACAGCCCTGGAGCAATTTGTGGTCATAGACTTCAATGGCTCCTGTGAAAAAAGAAATCCCAAACGAAAGAGTAAAAAAGTTTTGTAGAGAAAAATCCAACTTTTGTCCATTTGTGTACATCCAGGGGTTAGAGTATCTTTTCACTGATGAGTGCAATAGCCCCTCTAACACAGCTGGACTGCCAGAGATCAAGCAACAGTGACGCTATAGCAAGAACCACAAGAGTGCACACCAGAGAACTGCCCTCTGTCTCTCTTCCCCTCTGTGTCGCTCTGTCTCTCTCTCTCTCTCTCTCTCTCTCTCTCTCTCTCTCTTTCCCTCTCTCTGTCTCTCTCTCTGTCTGAGTGCTCGGAGCAGGTTGCCCAAGATTGTGTTGGCTCTATTCACACACTCTGGCCCAGGAGGAAGGGAGAGGAGTTGAAAATAGTGTCTGCACGCCAAACCATCCCGCATTCGATAAATATTCGGAACCTATTAAAATACAGAAAACAGCTATCTACTGTGCTGTCTAATGTTTTTGAAAGGCAGATTTCAAATCATGCTTGGTAACAAGAAGTTTTCTATTCTTCTTTAGGCACAGTAATATGTAATATTACTGCATGTAATATGCCAGGCTGTTTTAAAGGATTCCTCCCATAAATATCTTGAATGATTATGTCAAATGCTTGCTAAAAACTTGCAAATTGGATTTTATGTACCAGATTAAAAATAAACGCAGGCACTTATTTGTTATGATTACAAATCATTATCTTGATTCTGGTCATAAAGGTTTATTTGTTATACAGTTTGTGGTCAGGTTTTTAGACCACAAGGCACGAGTCAACTCGAACTTTGCAGAACAGGAAATAAGTGCCCTCCCTCTGCCTGAGAGCTGTAAAAGAAAATAATAGATCTCTATCTCAGTGTTACTCAAGTCCGCGCACTGAAGAAGAACAATCAGTCGAATGCCTTCCATGCGATTCTGTTCAGATATCCAGCTCACTAGTCTGCCTCCTCCACAGCTCCTCCTTTGGTCTGCCACCATTTAACTGCATTCATAGCTGAGCACTAAAATGCATGATTGTATTGATTGTTCTGGTATTGTTTAAACATGCAGCTGAAGTCTTCCAGTCAAACAGTCCAATATAAAGGTAATGTATTGTTCCATGCAGTGAAAAGCAACTGTATCTAATTTGTTAACTGTAAAAACTAATATAACCATAAGCATAATTAGATGATATTTGGTCTTTACGATACCTATAATATCATTCATCTTCTCTAATGTGAGAAACCAATAAAGTTGACCAGAAGCCTAAACAAGAGGGCCATCTGATAGTGTGTGTGTGTGCGTGTGTGTGCGTGTGTGTGTGTGTGTGCGTGCGTGCGTGTGTGTGTGTGTGTGTGTGTGTGTGTGTGCGTGTGTGTGTGTGTGTGTGTGTGTGTGTGTGCGTGTGTGTGTGTGTGTAGGGGTGTGTGTGTGCGTGTGGGGGTGTGTGTGCATGCATGTATGTGTGTGTGTGTGGTGTTAGCGTGAGAAGATGCCCCTGTGGGTCAGGACAAGAGCCCAGTTTGGAGAGGCAGGGGCTGGCACTCTGTGGTGTTGATAGTAAAGGCAGCCGCTACAGATCCTTCAGCATATGCACTCTATAAGTCATGTGGCCATTAAACCCACAGAATGTATCAGCTCAGAAGTAGTTACAGATGTGTGTTGAATAGAAAAAAAAAACAAAACATAAAACATATTTAAGTTTAAGTTTTAATCAGAATCAAATTAGGATCAAAACAGTGTAAAGAAAACACTTTTTTTTACTTGTCACAAGTTAATGATATAGCGGTCACAAATTTTCAGTATGTTGTACAGTAAAATGCGATATTTTAACATTCAACTCAGTTAGAATGCTTGTGTGACTTACATTTTGACTATTGGCATTAAGCTCTCTGTTTGACCCTGACCTACTTTTTGGGGATCTGCTTGACTGTTGTGAATGTGAATGTACTGTCAGCTATTGACCTGAAGCCTTTTGTGTTCTTTTCTGTGAATTCGGTGAGAATGTCTCAAAACAATTTCCCGCCTTGGTGAAATACTGTCTCTGACCAGTTTACCTCTATGAGGAATACAGACTACTTTGTTTTGGATAAACAAAGAAGCACTACAGAGATCTGTGCTTTTCTTTCAACTTAATTTAGCAAAAGTTTGATTTCTGTTCTTGTTCTGCTGTTGTGACACCTCACCTATCAGCATGAAGTAGTCACAGCAACATTATTCTTTTTATGGTGTCCTCATGTGCTGTGGGAATCATGCTAAATGCCAGTTGTCGAGCGGGAAATTGACTTCCTTGAAAAAGACATGATGCATCTCCAGGGGCAATCCAAAATAAATGAGTATATAAATAAAATGCATATAAAATGCATATTAATGTTACTGGAGATCCGGGAAATTAATATGATACCTGAGTAGCTGAGATGAAGCACTTTTAGACTTGTTAGCTGGTTATTTTACATGTCTGCATAATTATGTGGCATTTATATGTTTAATGTATCTCTATTTCCACTTTCCTTTTTCCTGGGCAATTTGTAGATTACTGTCTTGCATGAATTTACTTGTTTCCATTATTTGCACAAATACTTGTCAAGATAAAGTTTATTTTTGACATGTTTCATTTTGCTACAAGCACAAAATCACTTAAAACAAATGCTCTCCACTTCACTAGTAGAAATGATCATCTTCTCCATAGCTCATGAAGGCGGCATCTCTCTTCCCTTTATGACTCATATTGCATTGAACACCACTGCTATAAATAAATATAAATCCTTGGACCTGTTCCTCTACTTGATGGCTGTATGTGCATAGATATGAAATTTAAATCCACAGCATTCTCTTTATGGAAGGAAAGTCAGAGTTATATTAGTTTGGGATTTGGACTGTTAGCCTGTAAAACATCACAGAAGTCACTCGGCTTCACACAGCAACTTGAACTCACTCCTCACATGTGCCATGGCAATGTTTCACTGTTCCCATGGAAACGACAAAGATGAGATATTTCATTCAAAAAACAAGAAGACTTCTGGTAATTCTCAGCTGTGTATAGCTATGGCCTGATCAGGGGCAGCCATCTGGACTTTGTAAGCTTACATTTCAATTCAGTTGAATCTACCAAGTCTCTGCCAACACTCCCATTGCTGGAAACATCCTTCTTCCTTTATTGCCACTGGAGAAACTTGTGCAGGACTGTCCAGAAGTAGTCATATTTACCAACAGTATACAAGGTTCATCTAAGGTGTCTTAATAATTTAGAAATAAGATAAAAATAATAAAAGTTGGGTCATTTAAATGTCTATTATCGACCACAGCACATCAGGATATTACATTTAATTTGCATATGGACTTATATATATATGTATATTGGCTTCACACACATTCCTTGACAATTTATTGAGGCTAAGGACAAAGTGATTATTGCCTTTCTTTGTATATTATTCTATGCTGTACAATAGTGCATGACTCAACCTCTATTCTTTTATGCAGGCTTGAGTTTTTGGTTCTGCATGGCTGGGTTTTAGTTGGCAGCCAGTGAGGTATGGCATGTTTTTATAATTTGCTTTGTCCTTTTATATAAACCAGGATGCTGTAGCATAAGTAAATCACAAAATGGGCAAATATTTCAGTTTTATCCAAATACAAAATCAGTTTTGTGTACTTGCAGCATGTTGGAAAACTGATAGAATTGTTCAATCCTTTTATAGCTTTCATAGTCTGAATTCCTGTAACTTCCATACATCACATGCTACAAATGCCTCCTCTGAGTTTGTTTGCTTGAGCCTTTTCCCTCTTTTGCACAGGAAACTGGCCATTACATGCAAAACCTAATCAACAGTGCTTCCACTCTAAGGGAGGAGTGGCACCAAATAGGAAACAAAACTTCATACTCACAATGACAAGCAATTGCTTTACAACATTTTTATTTATTATATATGTATATGTATATGTATGTATGTATATATATATATATATATATATATATATATATATATATATATATATATATATATATATATATATATATATATATATATATTATATATGTGTATATATATTATGTTGTCTGTATAGACAAAGCATAATTTGAATCTTAGACAAATTAGCATAGCTCACACATCACAATATAATATTATAACAAAGAGAATATAACAAAGAGATATAAATGGCAATATACATTTAGCAAAAGTATGAAGAGACTGGTGTCAAATAAGGCATAGTTTTATAAATGTATATATACAAGTAAAAATTTTATGAAATAGAAATAATGTGGACCCTAAATCAATCTTATCTACATGCCTTTTTATGCAGTTTTATAAAAAAAAAAAATAAAAAATTTTAAATCTGCATTTATTATTGTGAAGCACTCCAACAACAACAATACTATACATTATAATGTAGTACCAACCACATGGAGACATACACATATGGTCTAAATTGAAATTACACAAGAACATTCCCCTAAGCACTTCCCCTGCCTGAGCATATGCAGAGGTGAGAGAAACCCACTTTAAGCACAGGGGGATTGGGCCTTCAGCCGCTAACATGTCGTGAGTAAATCGGTCCCATTACACAGTGAGTGGAACCACATGCTGGAGTCTCTGAAGATTCTTCACGGGGGCTTTGTGCAGGGAACACATATGGAGCGTATGAATGCTCTAGAGACATGTCCCCAGAACCAATGTCAGGCTATTTTTGGGGGTGATTTTTAATTGCATTTCCAAAAGCACCCTGCAAGTGCTGTGATGTATTCTTAGTTGTTTTTTGTCCATTACTGCTTATGCACACATTCATATATGTTCTGATATGGCCATGTGTTATCTATGTCCTATCTTTCACTTTCAGTATAAAGTCATAATAATAAATCATACTCATCCATGTACGGTTGTTTCTAAGTACAAACACATAACTTTTGAGGATCAAAGTTAGAGCAGAGATCCACCTTCTCTTAAGTCACCATGCCTTTATTGTGCATTGTGGGCATTTATTTCCTTGACAATGTTTTTATTTCCCTTATTTGAATGTGCGTATTTTTTTTTATTTTTCTCAGTTTATATTATATTCTTTGTTTATTGTTGCGCCATAACGCCAAAGCAATTCACTTTGTTCATTGACAATGGCAATAAAAACATTCTTATTCTGAATAGCAAATAAGAAGAAGAACTGAACACAAAAGGACTCACTGTGTACTGTGTCAGTTGATGTGATTGTATTTTTTGTTTGTTTTTGT